CGCAGCCACAGACGCAGAGTGCTTCTCAGTCCTCCGCGCCGTGCAACTCGGCACCTTTGTCGAAGAGCGCGGCGGCCTGCGCGAGTCCATGAGCGCAGACAGTCTTAGCGCGGGACAGAAGCAGCTGTTCAGCCTTGGACGGGCGATCCTGCGACGCCGGGTCAAAGACGCCAAGTTCAAGCGGCGCGGCGGCGGGATCTTGTTGTTGGACGAGGTCAGCTCTAGTGTCGATCACGCGACGGATAGGTTGATGCAGGAGATTATCAAGGAGGAGTTTAGGACGTATACGATTGTGATGGTGTCGCATCGCCTGGACATGGTGATGGACTTCTTTGATGCTGTGATCGTCATGGATCAGGGGCGCGTCATGGAGACGGGCAGCCCGAAGGAACTTGTTGAGACGGAGGGGAGTCGGTTCGGTGAGCTGTGGGCGATTGAGAATCAGGGACGGTCGAGGGATCCTGTCAGGTAGCCATGGGTCATGGCGGAAGCATTACATTTGCAAGCGAATGATTTTTATTAATAAAGAAGATGTTCTGGTATGACAGTCCTTGAACATGGAAGAGAACATTCAACATAGGAGACAATATTAACACAGAAGGGGATCAATACGGCACGTGGGGCCAGGCAAAGAATGAGCACCTTCTGTTCATCGACTTTACCCCAATTCTGTAGCAAACACTTGGGAGCAAACATCCTCTGTTCACCCGTCCAAGTTCTACAAGTCACATCAAAGAATGCATTTTTCTGTTCACTTATCCCAATACTATAAGTAAATGCCAAAGAAGGCCCATATTCGATCCATTTACCTTGATTCCATAGCGAACATCACCACGACTAGACAGCTTGATCATCATCATTCTCCCAAAATTACCTCAATTTTCAAAGAAGAAAGATGGCTGAAATAGACAATCTTGATATGAACCTTCTTTCGGTCATCGGGGACTTGCACGTTAAAACGGAAATCAACAGAAACTTCGATAACATCAATGCCGGTCTTTTGAAATCTCGCCAGGACACCGTTGAGGGAAGTGGCATGGCCACTGCCCTTGCAGCATATCGTTCCTGTCGTGTCCCTCACGAGAAGGCTATTACTTATGCAGCGGACCTCACTTTCCGGAATCTGGTCACAATTAATGTCAGCATGGTCGGCACAGTCGGTAGTGACATTATGAGCGGAACGGTTGCCGCAGGGCTGAAGCAGAATTACATTACGGGAGCAAATGTGGTAGTACCGATGAAACGAACAGACACCCACACCTATCTTGATGGAAAGCTATGGAAACTTGGCGAGACAGAGAAAGTGGCGTCTTCCAGCGATTTCGACAAGAAGCATTTCACACACAGCCGTACCCTTGGAGGAGGTTCTACGCCAAATATGGTCATCATCTCGACGCATCTCCGAGATAGATCATTCTTCACTATACTGAGAATTGCTAGAGACTCTGGCACTCAGGTGTGCATGAACACGGTGCCTCAGTATCATCTTGACAAGGCCTGGTACGGGCATATTAAATATCTTATCGTTAATTATGAGGAGGCTGAGCGGTTTGCCTTGTGGCAGTTGGAAATGGGTCCTGTGAACAAGAGTATCAGCTCAACACTTCAACGTCTAAAGCACCTTGGTGCGAGGAATGTGGTTATCACGCATGGCCATCATGGGGCGTCCTTCATAACCGATGTTTGGGAAGAGGGGAAGTTCACTTTCAAAGGGAATCAGGCCGATAATGAGTATACTGAAACCGAACGGTGAGTGTTTCTTCTCTTTTTGCTGGACTAATCATTCCCATACTGATACGAGCGAACAGGGCCGTGTTTGGGGGGACATACGCATCATGGATGTGTGGGCATCGGGGACAAGTAACGGGAGCCGCAATGATGAACTCAATCCGCGCTGCTTGTTTAGCTGCTTCGATTACTGGCCAGCGACTTGCAGGTATTGAAGCAACGGCTAAGATAAATGGTAAACAGAATGTCGGTGCGGTGGGAGATGCTGTTCCATGGTATCACGATCTGAACTTCTAGTGAAAGGCTCTTAACTACCTCAGTCGTAGTTAACTACTCCTTGATATTACCTAAAACACGTAGTGATTTAGTCTTTCTTTTATTACAACTCTTTTTTATCCTCATGCTCTTATTTTCTCTTTTTTTTTTTTTAGCAAGAGGTAACTGAAAAAAAAACAAGAGAAAAAGAAAACAAGAAAAAGAAAAAAAGATTCAAAAAAAAAAAAAAAAAGAAATAAGAGAAAAAAGATAAGAGGAAAAAATAAAAAAGGAAAAAAACTTTAGAGTTTTTTATGTTTTATAGTTAGTTCTTATTATAACCCTAGATATTAAAGAAAAAAGTCGTAAAGCAAAAGACTCATTATTCTTGAGATGTTTAGTATAGCTATTTCGTGGTTATAGTCGAGACCCAGGTAATATACACAACAATCTCCCGGGTTATACCACCGCCTGAAGTGCGGTACGCAGGGCCAGGCAAAGAATTTTTGTTCACCGTTTTACCCCAATTCTGTAACAAACACTCGGGAATAAATATCCTCTGTTTACCCGTCCAAATCCTGTAACTATCAACAAAGAATGAACCTCTTCTGTTCACCTATCCAAGTCCTACAAGTCATATCAATGAACGGGCATCATCTGTTCACCTGCGCTGTTCGTTTCAATCCTATAAGTAAACACTCACGGATGAGCATCTGGTGTTTCCTTCCCTTGCTTCCATAAGAAACAACACAGCAAACACAAAGCTTGACGATTATCATTCTCTCACCACCAAGTACCCCTCCACTTTCAGCAATCGGGACTACATCATGGCACTCAACAGAAAGACTATAGCAGTTATAGGGGCGTTGACACTCAACATGAAACCGGCTAGGGAGCAGCCCCTTCCCCCCGGTAAAAAGATTGAGGAAGGCATTTCAGCACCTAAAGAACATGAGGCTACCCTCGAAGGCATTACTACTGCAAGCGCGGTTTATCAAACCTTGTGCCGAATATCGATACGGGGGGGCATCAAATGGGTTCCTGGCGTGAGGATGGTCAGTGTAATCGGGAGAGACCATCATACCGAAAACGTCATAGCAACAGTCAAGAAATCCGGCGCCGGTACAGAAGGCATCAAGATAATGCCGGACAAAGATACAGACGTCTACTTCGACGTATTGACGAAAAGTACCGGCGAAACCCAGCGCGATAGGAGTCTTAATCCGTCCACGCCTGCCTGTTGGACAGAGGAAGATTTCGAAACCGCTGAGAGCTTCGGAGGCAAGAGCAAGCCAGATTTGATCATTATTTCGACAGAACTCAAAGAGGGAGTCTTTGCGACGATATTGAAGTGTGCTCTATTATACCAAGGTATTTTTATTGGTCTCTCAGCATGCTTTCTTGCCATACCTTATCATTTGAGTAATTTGTTTTCAAAAACCATTTGCTTTTGGGCATATTCTTTCGTCTCGATTTCTTGGAACTCTAGAACAAATGTAAAAAGCAGATAAAAATTATTATTTTTAGACCACCTCAGTCACTATTGGCATCTTGTGAGCATAGTTTGTGAGCAAGTGGAAAGTCAAAATCCGCAATGTTAAGCTTCCCGCTGTGCCAGGCTTTGCCGGTAGACCGATATGCGATGGGCAGGGGAGGAACTTGCCGCCTGTGGCGAGCCTGTCGGCAGCAAAGTGTTCGACTGAGTCGAGTCATCGAGAGAGAAATTGTTTAGAAAGGCTGGCCTTGGGAATAACCGCCAAAACCATGTATTTTACTTGGACGGTGGTCGGTTACATGATGCCCTGCGCTCTGTAGTGTAATTCATCTTGCCCCTTTTTGTTCCGCAGCAGGGAGCAGGCCGTGGGCCATCAGAAGTGACCCGTCTTGAGAGATAACACAGCCTTGTTGCTACTTGCATGCATTACTATCATTCTTAACCTATGGTATTAGCGTACCTAGGTCTGGTGTCATATGAACAGTGCTACCGGGTTGCATAACTAAGTAGCTCTCATGTACTGATCTTCCCTGATTGATCCGAATCGAAGACCGTCACTGGATGAATGGAAAAGGTGTTGACTGGTTTACTCTCTATAGTTTCAGTAGCCGACGTATGTACTAAAGGCTGTCCAGCAACAGCATGAAGATGCCACACCGCTCCACCCCACTACCTTGAAGAACCATCTTTCGATTGCCCGACGGCTATGAGTTGTTGCCTCCATACACTTTCATAAGGCCTCATGTTTGACACATTACACCACCTGCCGCAGAGTATCTCGTTCGTTGAGACTAATATCAAAGGTAAGGGGGAGCGGTCTCGTAAGTCACAATTAGGAAGCGTTGGATGGAAAGTGGGCGAGCGCCCTGACTTTACCGTTATCATCGCAAATAGTAACGGAAGGACTCAGCCAAGAGCTTGTTGAGTCGGTAGGGAGTCGGTCAGGTGAGCTCTGGGCGATTGACATTCAGGGGCTAGGGAGAATACGCGTAACACGGACATTATCAATATGGGGAGACATTAACACCGTGATGGACAGAAGTTTTGACTACGAGAAAGGGGCTCTGTATTGGTATTGAACTTAGTCCGGGAGTCATGTTGGAGGTGTTCCATCCAGGTCCGAGGTCGCAATTACTTTGAGCCGCGCAGACATGGACATCCCCGGGTCGATATGAGGGCAGACAAAGAAGGAGGGTCTTCTGTTCAAACACTCCAGTCCTATAAATAACCATCATCGTCACAACCCGCCAGTTTTACGATTCCTGATTTGCTAACAACAAACACCCTTACGATCGACAATTACAGGATGGAACCAGAGACGAAGACTATCGCAGTTATTGGGGCGCTGGGAGTTGATCATATCATGATCGTACCCCATTTTCCAAAGACAGGAGAGAGCATTAGAGCAAGTCATTCCGAGAAAGCCTTGAACGGAAAGGGTGCGAACACAGCGCTCTCGACATACCGCTCCTGCCACTACGAGGAATCGCTAGGCAGGGGCGATGGTGCCATTCGGGTTAAGATGATTGGCAAGGCCGGTGATGATACCTACGGAGGGTATCTTATTGCGAAGCTACTCGAAAACGATATCGATATCTCTGGCGTCGAAGTGGCGCCATACTTACCGTCCAACGAACGCGTCGTCATGATCGATGAAGAAACCCACGAGAGTCGGTGTGTATTTAGCCATGTTAGCCAAGGGGCAACAGCGGCCTGGAAGAAGAAAGATTTCAGCTACCCTGAGCAGTTTGGAGATGGCGAATGGCTGGACTTGATCGTGGCGCAGATGGAGATCGATAAGAAGGTCGTCGAGACGATGATTGAAACCGCTGGTCACGCTGACATCCCATTCTGCTTGAATGCCGCGCCGGCGAGTCCTATCAATCCCACACCCTACCAGCTTATCACACATCTTGTGGTCAACGAGTCTGGGGCTGCGATTCTGTTGGACTGTACGGAGGATGAAGTGGAGGTGGACTGTCCAAAAGCTGCCAAGAGATTTTTGAACCTTGGGGTCCAGAACGTGGTTATCACGCTGGGTGCGAAAGGTGCATATTACGCCAACGCGAAAGTCAGCGGGCTCTGCGCTGGGTATGCCGTTCCGGTTCTCGATACCAACGGAGCAGGGTGGGTGGTTCATTCTCTCCAGATCCAGACGTTTCTCGCAGACTAACACAGGTGCTTAGCAACACCTTCACCGGGGCGTATGCGGCCGACTATGTGCGTCAGATATCCAGTCCATCTGGAGAATGGGACATTGAGAGTGCCGTCGTTCGCGCGAATCAAGCTGCTGCTATCTCTATTGGGAGTGCGGGTGCTCAGGGGCATATTCCCTGGGCGAATGAGATTGATCTGTTTGACATGATGGCAGAGATGACTCTTGACTGAGTACTGAGGCAAAACCTGCAATTTGTTCAGAAATGTGAGCTTAATTTCCCTGTCCTGCAATCATCGCTCTATGGTCAGACTGTGGAATGACGTCCGAATGGTGCCGGGCCGAACGGGAGTGCGGAAGGCCGCGCGGGCGCCGGCCCCGGGTGGAGCCAGAGTTATCGAAAAGGGGATCTAGGCAGGAATTCGTCCCGGGATTTCATGTGCCTTTGATGTAGTATTTTGATGCTGGTCATGATTGAAGGGGCCTAGATCGAGAGGATGTGCAGCGCAAAGAATCGTGGGGTGTTCAGCCGCAATGCGAGGGCGTGCTTTTACCAGCTTCCGACCTCGGCATAGTGAAGAAGCAAGCTGCCCCAGCTCTCTCTCTTACATCTCATTACTTCAAGGAGCAGCGTTCCCAGAACTTTTGGAGAGAACAGTATCAATCAGACAAGGCCACCAGAATGGGGTTCAAAAGTCCATGGCGAGGGTGGCCAAGTCAGGATCCTGCAGTAAGTTCTGCTTCGGGAGCAAGGTCATCATCAAAAGGACCCCGAAAGCTCGCGCCTTGCAAACGAGAGCGAAATGTCTGGACTCTGTAGCCCCTCGTGCCCCTCATCGCGCCGTGGTTCCTGGTGGCTGCGTGGCTTGCACATGTGGTAGCCCAGCACATGCGCACCCCCGGACGCCCCTCCTTCTAGAACATGTGCAGATCTACCTCCCCGATCGGGATAGCAACCATAATGTCGGATATTCGATAGTGCCATTCTCGTTGTTCTCGTTGAACTTCTTTTAACGTTCTCCAGGCCCCAACTTCGTCTGGTGTGCTTCGCATACCTTCCTATGTGGTCTTAGATCTTGCGTTTGGGTTTTGCGCCCATATCCAGAGAAATGTGCTCATTAGTCACCAAGAGGTACCTAGGCAGCCTGGATTGGTCGATGAACCGGATGGAGCGTGCTGGATATGCGTACGAGACCTTCATCATTCTGTTACGCACTGGTTTGAAAGGAATAAGTTGCAGGCTGTTCGAGAGACGCGACATGCCGTCAGCATGAGACCAGATGAGGCAATGGTGCAGGGTGTCTCGGCCTCGGATGTGCCCTTGAAGCCCGCCCGGGCTGCCGCTCCGGCAACGTTGGCGGAGAGGAGAAAGGGAGCATGCTGATCTTCATCGGGTAGAGACATTCAAACCAACAGCTCCTCGCGTCAGCAAATGAGTCGATGATTTGATTAGCTGACGGGCTTGGAGTCTTGGACCTTGGACGGTGAATGGGGCGTAAGGCGTGCCTGAGAGGGCGCAGCTCTCATGGCGCCAGGCGAAGTACTCCATGATGGAGAGTGGGGGGCGAAGCTGGAATAGGCACATGGGATGCGAACGATGTGACGCTGCAAATGGGTGTTTCTTAGAGTTGTTTGCTTGCCTCATTGCCTGTTGGTAAAGGCCGAAGATCCAGACTTGGCTCAAATCTTAATGCGCATGCGGGTGAAATTGTTGGTTCCTCTCGTTGCCCGACTGCTCGTGATCGGGCGGATGCGGCGGTGACTGGCATTGAGGATCTCTTGTAGAACGTAAGACTTATTGAGCCTTTACCATGCCTCAATAGGCTTTCAACCTATGGTAAAAGCGGTTTCTCTGACAAACAGTTCTTGTAGATTCAGGTCTAAGGACCTCTGAGTCGATTTGATGTTGTTCAGTTGAAGGAGGAAGAAGAGAGAACCTGGAGGGACTGAGTGAGGTACCCCTTTTCGGTACGTACCGTGTTCCTCGGGCAAGTGGATCCCTGGGTCGCTCAGCTGCCTTTTCGGGCTAGACCGGGATTCATTAGCTAATACAGGCTAAGCGAGAACACACGGGCCATCAGCTTATCGCATTTACGAATGGCGCTAACAGGCGCCTTCCCTCGTGACACCCGCCGCCGTCTCCTTGTCTCCCCATCTTCTTCCTCATACCTATTCCTTGGACCACCTCATGAACCACGACAGGATCCGCCTATGATTCTCACCGGTACCTGAACGAGCGGGGAAATGCCTCTATGGAAGTAGAACGGAACTTTGGGAACTTTGTTTCGGCGACCACGCGGCTGTATGCGTCTTTTCTGCAACATCCTTAAGCCATGAAAGCCATCAACGCCATGAACGCCAAAGACGCCACCATCGATGCGGCCCAGCTCTCTCCAACGACATCGGTCACCAACTACCGTGTCGGTAGCGATGGCTTCTTTCTTATTGTCAATGTCTCGACTATGCGACAATGATAATGTCCGTACGCAGATATGAATAGCAGCATACCGGACCGGTGCCTGAACCTGCATTGGAGTGCGACGGGTCCACAGGGTGGCACATAGCCATTGCCATGTGCCGTTGAAGCAACAAGTACAACCTCTTGGCTGCCTTGCCACACATGATAGCTTCATCAACCCGTCGACGCGGTGTCTAGTTCGATAACATCGGGCGAAGTACGGAGTACAGCTGGCTACGAGGCAGTTCTCTCAAAGGATCGACCCCTCCGCCTGATTCCTCGTCTGGCGAGATGCACCCCCGTGCCCAATTCTGGCCCAAGTGCTCTGCCATGAACTGTCGAACAGCACCCAGACATAGACCATCCACGACCCACGCTATCAAGACAGTCCTAGGCCTTGATACCACGTCTTGGCATGCACAACGGCCGGGTTGTGGAGGACATCTCAAGGCGGTAGGTGTCCAACGAACGGCGCACCCGTACCGCACGCCATTCGCACTATTGGACCCCGCCTGGCCTGCATCCTCTGCGCCGTGCCATCCACTGCATCCCAACGAGGAAGCTCATCCAAGTCTTGGCGGCTCTCCGAATGAACAACCTCCATTGACCGGCATCAACGTCCAAGACTGCGACTCGCCCGTCTGGACCCTTGCGAAATTACACTCTCGTTGTTTGCCCCAGATAGCACGGCCCGCGCCTCATGGGTCGCGCCATTCGACCGCCGGGCGAGCATGCCTATTCTCTCTCCCTGTCACTCTATGCTACGGCTTCCACATCCCCCAGTCTTTGGACCTTGCAGCAAAACACTCGATGCTCAACGCGACTCTGCACCTCGCCATGCAACTAAGCATGCGCACACAAGACAGATGCAGCTAGCTGCGTACAACTTGGTAGCTCTGGCCAATGAGCATGCCTATGAATCCCGGATATCACGTCTTCAACAGGGGATATGAGCAAGGTAGCTTCATCTTCCTCGTGCTACCTCTCATAACGTCTCTTGCTATGCCGAGCTTGAGACTGGCCGCAATGCTAAGCAGGCATGGGTTCATGGGCATCTGCCTCCCGGAATCGGCGACGCCACCTTACGGGCATCCGGTCGTCAGCGAGAAGCGTGAGATAAGGACTACTTAAACCACGCCGCCGCCGCGATGCCATCCTGACCTGGTTTCCTTCGGTAGCTTTGCGCTCTCTCACCCTCGTTCATACCAAGGCAAGACCCAGCACCCGGCAAGATGCGCATCTCGGCCACTGTTTCCGCCTTCGCCCTCGCTCTCCACCTTGGAGGCGTTGCGGCCCTCGGCCCTCGCCAAGAAGCCAGCGATGAGAAGGAGACTCCCACTTTCATCGCCAAGAGCTTCATCATCGAATACGCTCCTGTGAGTGCCCGCTGCGCGTGGCTGCTGCCCGAAGAAAGCCTTCCCACAGGTTGTAGTCCCCAGCTGACACTCACCGTCTTTCTTACTCTAGGGTTCCAGCGCTCGCGTTCGTCGTCAAAATGTCGCCTCCACAGACGGCATCACCGTCGTTAAGGAGTTCGCCAGCAACGTCTTCTCCGGTGCCAGCATCGAGACTGACACCTTCACTCTCGACACCCTGCAGGAGCTCCCCGACGTTGTCAACGTCTGGGTCAACGAGCAGATCAAGCTTGCGCCGACGGAACCCAAGGCCGCTGCGCCTGAGGATGCTCCCACATACTCGACACACAATGCCACTGGTGTAGCCAAGCTTCACGCCCAGGGCATCTTTGGTAAGGGTGTCAAGGTTGGTGTTGTTGATACCGGTATCTGGTACAAGCACCCTGCTGTAAGTTGGAGCTGCGCCCATCGGGAATGCGAACATACACTTACAACATAACAGCTGGGTGGCGGTTTCGGCCCTGGTTTCAAGGTTGCCGATGGCTACGACTTTGTCGGTGATGGTTCATACCCGGCCAGCGGTCCCAAGGCGCCCGATGAAGATCCTCTCGACACCCGCGGCCACGGTACCCACGTTGCCGGTATCGTCGCTGGCAAGACTGACTCGTGGGTCGGTGTTGCCCCCGAGGCCACTCTTCATGCCTACAAGGTCTTCTCCAACGCGGCGTCTACTGACACGGCTACTCTCATTGAGTCGTTCCTTGCCGCTTACGACGACGGTGTCGATATCATCACTGCCAGTATCGGTGGCTCCAACGGCTGGTCTAACAACGCTTGGGCCGAAGTTGCTTCCCGTTTGGTTGATGAGGGTATCGTCGTCACCATTTCCGCTGGAAACAGTGGTGCCAGCGGCCCTTTCTACGGTAGCTCTGGATCTTCCGGCAAGAATGTCATCGCTGTGGCTTCCGTCGAGACGGAGGTCTTCCCGGCCATCCCCTTCGAAGCTACCTACGGCGGCAGCGAGACCGTTCGCGTCGGATACCTTCCTGCGGGAACCTACTTCCCCAACACCATCGTCGACTGGCCGATTGTCGCCCTCAACACCGATACGAGTGCCACCGCTGACGGCTGCACGCCCTATCCGGCGGGCAGCCCCGATTTGACGGGCAAGATTCCCTTGGTTCGTAGAGGAACCTGCACATTCCAGGTGAAGCAAGAGAACCTTGCTGCCCTGGGCGCGAAGTACATCCTCATTTACAACAACGCATCGCCCATGACGACTCCCAGCACCAGCAACACCGACAGCCAGATCGCCATGATCACTGCCGACTCCGGTGCTGCCTTCATCAACGCCATCAAGGCCAACACCACCGTCACTGCTGACTTCTCGGTCAACCCGGAGATCCCGATTGCTCTCGACTACCCGGCTGGAAACCGCCCCAACATCTTCACCAGCTGGGGTCTGCTGTACGACAACCAGCTGAAGCCTGACATTGCCGCCCCCGGTGGTAACATCTTCTCTACCTACCTCGACGGAACCTACTCCATCCTGTCGGGCACGAGCATGGCCTGCCCTTACGTGGCTGGTGTCGCCGCGCTCTACATCTCCGAGAAGGGTGGTCGCAGCGTCCAGGGCAAGGGTTTCGCTCGTGCTCTGTCCCGCCGCATCATCTCCAGTGGTTACGCTCTGCCTTGGTCCGATGGAACTGCTACGGACTATGGCTACAGCGCGCCCCCGGCTCAGGTCGGTAACGGTCAGATCGACGCCTGGAAGATTCTCAACTACGACACTCAGCTCGAGTTCGAAAAGATCCAGCTCAACGACACCCGCTACTTCAGCCGTTACCACGACGTGACTGTCACCAACAACGGCAAATCGGACGTCACCTACAAGTTTTCCGTTCAGCCTGGTGCCGGTGTGGATGCCCTCGCCTGGATCCCCGCCACCTCCAGCCTTCCCGGAACTAAGCGCGTCAAGACCTTTGCCCAGCTTGCCCCCAAGACGTACACTCCAGACATCAGCCTTCCTCGTGACTTCACCCTGAAGGCTGGCGAGACTAAGACTGTGTCCGTTAACTTCAACAACCCCGATAACCTTGGTTGGAACGCGACCGGCCTGCCGCTCTACGGAGGCAAGGTCGTCATCCAGGGCAGCAACGGCGAGCAAGTCTCAGTTCCCTATGCCGGTGTCGGTGCCGATCTCCGCAACACCCTTGGCGGTGTCCACGAGGCTGGCTGGCCCCAATCTGTCTCAACCGTGAACGATATTCCCATTAGCCAGAAGGCGTCTTACTCCTTTGACCTCAGCATTGAGGCTCAGGACTTCCCTAGGATCTTCCAGAAGCTCCTTTGGGGAACCCGCCAGACACGTTGGGACATCTATGAGGCTGGCTGGACTGAGCGCCAGTGGGTCTACCCTCCCGTTGAGGGTCAGAACGGTTACATTGGTTCGGCCGCATCGTGGGTCGGCTCTGGCGAAATCCAGACCTTTGACCCTGCGCAGTACGACCCCAACGATACCTTCACCTACCCCATCACCGACATCTACCGCAACGCTGGCGCGACCTACCACGAGCACTGGTGGTTCGGCAAGCTGGGCAACGGCACACAGATTGCGCCTGGTAACTACACCTTGCGCTTTGCCGCTCTCCGTCCTTTCGGAAACCCCACGCACGCGGACAACTGGGATGTCTACAAGACCCCTCAGATCCAGATCACGGGAAAGTACTAGACGTAACGGTTTAGTCTTACGAGCGCATAGTATGATATAGTAATGACTTAATACAACCATAATTACCTGAGAACTAGACGATGCTCTGTATAATTTTGAGTGAGGTCTTGGACAGCAAATTTCCCAGAAGTGTGTCCAAACCGGCCAATGGTAGCTGGACCCCGCCTCCCTTCACGAAAGTCCCCATACTACACCCTGAAGTCAATTGCTGCAGCTCGGTTACGAGTTCGCTCAGTCGCCCTGCGTCAGACTCACACATGGCGGCATGAGCCTACTACAGCCTACATGGCGCGACTCTTCATCGAGATACGCAAAGTAGCAAAGATTCTCAGATGACCATTGACGACTCGTTCTTCGTGCAGATTAGCCCCGCCGCTAATGCATAGAGCGTATTTTTTGTAGACTGAACCGACAAAGGAACGGCTGTTAGTATAAGCGAGGCAAGCGGGCTCACTTCCTCGCGGCCCGCGCCCCAGAAGTGGGCTTGATCGAGCTGAGATGCTTGGCAGGTAGGATCCGGCCTTGCAGACCGAGATCCTGGTGGAATGGTGATTTTCAGTTCAACAGATGTGAGTGACAGCCCACGCGTATGCAGGTCCCACGAAAACTTGATTCAAGCACATGTGAATGAGGAGATTGAGGGAATTGGTTGGCCAACGACATCTGATGCTGATCTTGGCTCTTTGCTTTGTGTCGCTGTACCTGACTTCCTTGCGTAGGAGATGTAGTATGTCCTAAGACAAAGACATATGTCAATTGAAAGAGATATATCTTGGCCAAGACTCCCTCGGTTGCTAGCGAGCATTCATGCAAACCACAGAGCAAGCTACAAGCTATACCTCATAGTTTCATTCATTATAGTACATAAATTCCGCATTCGCGACCCAACGACAAGATGACGATCGAAGAGCAGCCCGAGCGGTTCAACAACACTCGTAAAGCCGACTTCAAATCAATCTACAATCAATCCGATCCCCGCGCTTACTTCGCGGCTCTGACGCCGCTCCAATACCAAATCCCGCAGCAGGCACTTCCCTATATTAGCCGCATTCTTCAGCACATCTCCGCGAGGGACCCATCCCCAACCACCAACGGCGATGGTGCCGTGACCGCAGCAAACAAAGTCAAGGTCCTGGATGTATGCTCTTCGTACGGGATCAACGCCGCTCTCCTCCGCCACGACATCGATATCAACGCGTTGGCGGAACACTACGCCTCCACCCCGAAACTCTGCTCTCGGGAGCAGATTGAGGCTGACGAGCGGTTCTTTGCGGGACGTAGATTGCGGCGCGAGCAGGATTGGAGAAACGAAGTGGAGGTAATCGGTCTAGACGTCGCACCGGAAGCGATATCGTATTCCCTAAAAACAGGCCTTCACGCAGCCGGCTTCACAGAGAACCTCGAAGCCCACGACCCATCACCAGACCTCTGCCAAGCACTCCGCGGTGTGAAGCTCGTGGTGTGTACAGGCGGGGTAGGCTACGTCGGCGCCTCGACCTTCACCCGCATCGCTGCCGCCGCGCGGGCTTCGCCTAGTTCGCCCTCGCAGTTGTGGATGGTGACGTTTGTGCTGCGCGTCTTCTCGTTTGATGAGGTCGCGGAGAGGTTGAGGACGGAGTTTGGGCTTGTGACGGAGAAGGTTGAGGGGAGGGTGTTTCGGCAGAGGAGGTTTTGTTCCAGCGAGGAGCAGAGGGCTGCGGTTGAGGATGTTAGGCGGAAGGGGCTTGATGAGAGGGGGTTGGAGGGGGATGGGTGGTTTTGGGCGGAGTGTTGGGTTACGAGGCCTGGGGGTTCGAGGGGGGAGGTTGGGGTGTTGGTTGATGGTCTTTGAGGTTGTTGTGAGAGATGGGGTGTTGGTGGCTGAGTGTTCGCTCTCCTGTCTTGATGAGTGTAGACTGGAGGATTGGCTCGATGGTCCGATATCTGGAACGAGTTGTATAGTCCTTTGGGTAACATAGGTAAGTCGAGAGTGCCGTCGAAGTAGTCTCTGTCGCTGGTCGTTTACCGTGCCTTTTGATCCGCAGATGACAGAGCCGATGATGTCGAAGAGACGATCCTTAGATGCCACGTAGCTGGAATCAATCCTCAGTCGGACCTGGTGTTTCTCGCAGAGTCTGGCAGCTTTGAAACCCAAGCGATGGCGTAAAGGCAAGATTCTGCCTCTCAAAATAGAAGCGTGTGGTCGACAACTGTCTCAAAACGTTTTCCCATGGTGCCGACCTGTCAGGTAGTCGGCTTGGGTCTCGCAGCCGAGCCACGTCAAACATGGCGGCACTGTTGAAGCGTAGACTTGGATAAGACTGGTGATCCATCGGGATGGGCTGTCGGGTGACGAGCGACGAGGCATGAAAAACTTGTACTGTTTCTCGAGGCTGATCTCAGTTGGACTCGATCGATGAATTCGTCAAGTTGTTCAGCGTCTCTCAGGTGACAGAGTTTTCCGACTTTGGTGACTGGAACTCGGTTTTGATCCGGGCAGCGCTTGTATGTCTGTCCGTCGGCGTGGAGTCTCGTGACGAGTCAACTTCCATCATGCAATTATGACAGTCATTCGAAGCCCAGGTTTGTGTAGAAGTAACGCATTGCTGAGGTACGTAAGATGTTAGCTCTCCAGAACTCAACACTGGCTGTAAGGTCAACGGCAATCGTGAGTCGACATTGAGGTTTCAGGTATTTGTCAAACCTTCTGCTTGGCTCTTTGGCACGCGCACTCTTTGCATCTCTGATGCTGGAGGGTACGAGGGAGTCGATGCATTGCGTCGTTTCTAGTTGTTTCCAAGGAAAGGCCACCCCATTTGTCGCGGTTTGCATCAATGGTCGATCGATCGTCTCCTGATAAGGTAAGGTCGCTCCTTAACAGTTCTTTAGCAAGTTGACAACTTTCATTCGGACTCAACTATTCCCATGTCGAAAACGGTAACAAAAAGACTTTGCGCCAACGCCAAGGCAGCAACTGTCATACTGGGCTGAGTAGATTTACGCTTAATACTAGCGTACCATAAGGACCACAACCAACCAAGAAGGTGAAGTGCACTCGGACCTCAAGAGAACAGGAGATTCTCACGGTTTGTCTCAGCTCGCAATTTCCCTCAACTGGTGAACTGGTGAATGCACACAGTTAAGATGGTCGACTCGATTCAGAGCCCCATCTACCCACCACCGTGTCCAGGTGCACCTCGATACCCGCAGACCAGTCACACCACTCACAACGTAGACCCGCGCCCCTCGGACACGCTTACCGTGGTAGGGTACATTTCTATATGCAAACCGTTACGGAAAAGACCGATTCGTGTGGAAACGACCGAGTAGCACCGACCGACAGATGATTGATCTGCTTACCAGGGCTGGCACAGACACGTAGGCCAAAAGGGATCTTCGTTGCCATTGGATCGACAATTCTTTACAACATTCCTTGACGGAACAATATTCAGCAGTAAATCCGTCGATGTGATTCCTACGATAAGATTCGAAGAACGCCTGACCTGAGTTGCATGGGTCAGACCAGAAACTCTAGGACGGACTTTTTTTCGGGTGGGTCGAGGCCTCCGAGCCCAAGCCTCCCCCTGTGTTGCTTAAGCCCCCTGGATGTTTATGTTACATGAGGGACCCTTGACAGACTTGCATGTCTTATGCGGGGGGCGCCGTTGATAGTCTCAGGATATTGAAGCCATTGCCAATTGGAGATCATCTCCGCGGAACTCGGGGGATGTTCCCCATATTGCTCTGTACGGATTGCCTTTACTATATTCGTACTTGAGCTATCGTATCCCTCTTCAGTATATCTACCGGTGCTGAGAGGCCCAAGCTTCCAATACTTGTACAAGGTCCCTATTCGCATGATCCGTATTTGCTGCTGTTAGTAGTAACATGCATCGGCGAATGAATCATCTGGTGAATGCAAAGCCAAGGGACCTACTTCAGTTGATTGAGGCTGTTCTTGGGGCTTGGTCTGATGAGCACCGCCGGGTGTCTCATGCAAGCTACAGCTGTCAGTGAGACTCGTCGCGGCGCGGATGTCTACCATCCAGTGAAAGCTGGTGTCACCATGTCATCCCATGTTATCGGGCACGTCTGCTTCAGAGCTTGTTTCTGGCCCCTAGACGAATCTTGTAGATCGACACTGACACGGCCGAGCTTAGACTTGGCTGGGGAAGTACCCCCTTGAGCTCGTGTCTCAAAATACAAAGCTCTACCTGAATTAAAGCCGTGGAAAAGACCTCTTTCCATGGCGCAGTCTATTAGATCGGATGACATCTCGTACCTCGTCGAGTCAGATTTCAGCATTGCATGTTGTACGCGTGGCCACAACCGATCCGGCGATACATTGTGGCATTTTTGGTGATCTTGTGTGCGCAAACTAACCTTCACCCCGAGCTACAAAAGTTCATGGCCTGCCTAATGTGACGGCCAATCAATGACTTCAAGCCAGAACATTCCTAAGCGCGTCACGCATCGGCTATTGGCAGTATGCCAACCAAATAAATGGCTATCCAGCATCTGCTATAGCGTATCGTCAAAATCCTAGTGCTAGAAACGTTTTGATCAGTGACATCAAACATGCATCGTAGCTCATCGGGAACTGGGCAGAATGTGCCCTGGAAATCTTCATGACGCGTTTAGCCAAGTTTAGTCAAGTTGAGACGCTGCCGGCGTTGGTAACTAGCGTGGCACAGGACGGGTCTTGGGGACCCAGTGTGGGTAAGCATGTTAATGATCCTAGATAGATTGTCCAAGCATGGTAAGTTTTGGGGCCAAGAGCTGGAGACATTGATGCTAGTGGAACGCGAGCGCGAAGCCCCTGATTCACTCCAAGGGCAGTCGCCAATTTGTGCATTCAACAGGTGCAAGTCTTCGGCATTTAGCTCACAAAGTGGAATGATGGGAAGATTCACTAGTAGAACTTACGTTAAGAGGTGACTCTCAAAGACAAAAATAGAGTTGACAGCCAAGGGGATCGTTGTCCGACGACTTTAGCTATCTCTCTAGTCGGGCTTAATGGTAGGAAACGTCAATCTACAAGCTCTAATCGTTAGTTTGTAGACAGACTTGAAATAACAACGATACTACGTTGCAAGCGTTCGTGTTCTAGGCAGCAGCCAATTTGAGTTTCACATGTTCCAGGCCTAGGTTCCCTGCAGATTTAAAGGCCCGGCGCTAGAAGCCACGGAGCTTCGGAGGCTTGAGGGAAGACTAACCTACAATTGGCGCCGGCCTTACGCCGTTATTCCGAATCGTAGCACAGACGACCGGCACTCGATGCCGAGTCCAACTTGCCGTTGGAAAATGTGACCTGGGCAGGGATGTTGGTCGTCGAGAGAGATCTGAGACTGGGCCACTTGAATCTCCAGACTCCACGGACCACGGGACGAGAGCCAAGAGTGTATGTCCATCTCAGGGGAGACGGGGAAGAGACTAGGAGTTGGAGGGCATCATCGGCCAGTCAAACTCTTTTGAGAAACCCCGAGAAACGTGACGAGACTGATACTCGGCCTCGTAGGGCTGAAAGAAGCGTTTTACTCAATCTATCGGCGTCGCCGTGTGGTCCACGCCGACTAGGCAGCTGTTTTTCTCTTCCCGGTGGGCTTGATTTGGACAACTTGGAGTCTTTAAAACTGCCTCACCATCACCAGCCCCATAATTCATGAGGTAAAAACTTACGTTTTGTCTGTGTGATTGGCTCTGTCGTAAAAGACTAAACCTAGCGCCCAAACGCATGTCGATTCTGACGAAGGGGCTGACGTCGCAGGGACCAGCCAGGGTATACGGCGGCCGAGGGTCGCGATCGTCCGTATTCGACACGTTGGCTTTATATAGTGGGCGCCGCCCGAACGCGCCAATCTTGGCAAGTGTATCCCCTGTCTTAGTTCCTGCGCCCGCACAACCCGATTTCCGAGAGAGCCTCACTCGCAACGGTGTACGGAGTACTGAGTTCAGGATTCGACGGCCTGTCAGTGGCTACCTTGCCCTCTTACCAGTGAATCCTATGCGCCTAGATACGCTCGCATATACTATTACGCACACTACGCACCCGAAGCCGACCATGTCATTGGATACCTCGATCCCGGGTACGGGAGTCTTCTCGGTGGTACCCGCACCCAAGAAACCCAAGCGGACTAGGGCGAGCGCATCAAAGGTCAGGACCGGATGTCTAACATGGTTTGTGACAACACTGATGCCACTGTAGTTTATTAAAGACTGGTTCAACTGACGCCACCTACCCCATTGACAGCAAGTAAGGCTTCTCCGCCTCTCCCTACAACTACCGACTGTGCTGCTTCATCCTCCACGTAGACAACTCTGGTATTCCAGCAGCTAACAAAGATTCCGTTCTCAGAGCCCGACATGTAAAGTGCGATGAAGCGAAGCCGTTCTGTAAGCGGTGTAGCAAGGACAAACACAAGTGCGATGGGTACCCGACCTCGCTCCCAAGCAAACGGCCGAGTCCGGCATCATCATGCTCGACCCGCTCGATTCCACCATCTCGGCGGCGACCTGTCAACTCAGTAATGCAGCTATCGCCTCCTGTAGATTGGGACGTCTCCGGTACAACCCTCGAGAGGTTGATGTTCCACCACGTCAACCGATGTACTGTCCCGGATTTCGGAACCGCCACACCTCTCGCCAAGCTATGGAGCAACTACATCCTGCCACTGGGCTACTACTCAGACTCGGTAAAGCACGCCATCATTGCACTCGGGGTAGCTCACAGGGGATTTCTCGAGAACCCATACTTTGACGAACAACCTTCCGAATCCGCCTTAGCGTTCAACGATCTAGCCGTGAGGCACTACCGAAAGGCCGTCTCAGAGACGATACAGATCATGGCCGATCCGTCACCCGTCAACATTCGAATCACGCTCATCTGCTGCCTAGTATTCGTTTGTTACGAGATTGTTCGAGGTCAATACGACAAGGCTATCCAGCACTTGAGGGCTGGGTCTAAAGTCCTCGAGTCACTCCACCAAGCAGCCGTACTTAATCAGCGCGACCCCTTGTCCCTATCGGCCTATGACAGACAGCTGGCAGACACGGTCAAGAAACATTTTGACCAGTTGTGCGACATCACAACCATGTTCACATGCGTCGGCATGGACACCTCCATGCTCATTGAAGACGAGGTCGTCCCCGATCTATCTTACTTCACACAGCCAGAACCCGAAGACGAGCGCAACACACCGTTCGAAAACGTATCCGAAGCCCGGCATCGTCTGCATTTTGTCGAGTTGACGTTCTCAGACGCCTTTGAAGACAGCTGGTTTTGCGAATCCGATAATTGCTGGCACTCAGGCCCCTCGGCCTGCAATACGCCGGAGCCTCCGCAAGAAGTACAGGACCAACAAAAGGCAGCGTGGGAGGAGGCAACAAGGCTTTTCGACATTTGGTGTTCCCGGTTCGATTTGTTGCAAGAGAACCTGCCGGATGTACTGGATCCGGCTGACCTGGACGAGCTTAAAGCCCTTCGCTTCTCTCGTAAAAGCTGGGAGATTTTCAATGCCCAAGAAGGGCCGTGTGCCATGAAGAATGGCAACATGGCTGAACTGCATGGGCTCGTTGATATGGCCGAGGAGGTCGTGGCCAGCAGGGAAGGACTTTCCAGGCCGATGTTTGCTCTCGCGGCAGACATTGTTCCCTCGCTCGCATACATCTGCGCCTTTTGCGACAATGTTGACCTGGAACGGAGGATCGTCGATGTTCTCCGTGGCATGAAGCGGAGAGAGGGAATGTGGGACAGCCGGGAATTGGCGAATCTGTATGATCTCGTCATCCAGGCCAAGACTGGCAACCAGTGGAAGGACGAATACAACTGGGAGACACTACCCAGTCTTGCGAGAATGATGGCAAATATGTCTTTGTCGGGTTCGGGGGATCGAGCAGGACCGCCGAGCCCTTTGACTTTGCTTTGAGATTACGGCATTGACGGAAGCGTGGAGTTTTGGGTTGATGTAAGGAAAGGAGTTTTGATTCGTGCAAGATGAAAACTTTCACTTCATGATTGCAGTCAGTGGGGATGGATGACTCGATGTGGTCGTTGACTCTGTGGTCCGACAGCACTGGTTGGGTGCGTTCAATAAAAACAGCGTTTCTAAGAAATTGGGTAAAGTCGTAAAGGTCAAGCTCTAGAGTCTAAAGGAGGATCGTACCTGGTACCGTGTACGAAAGAAATAGAACACTAAACATTGAAATTTAACTACCAAGTATGCTGAACAAGAGGGACTAAGTATGTACAAGAAGGGTATGAACTTTTGAGAAAGCGTCCATGGTTTCCGTCCAACCACATGGCATCTAGCCGCGCAGCGGCAGAGATTGACGGTCGTTCAAATCATGCTCTATGATTCGTCAAACATCATTCATGGCCTCCAACACGATTCGCCGCCACCACATCAGAGTGCGTTTAGCGGTAAGTAAAAGAGGCGTTTCATTCTCGTAGATCATGATGTGCAGCTCAGAGTTCCGTACTGGTTGGACACGGGCGTAGTATCTGATGCGAAGACATCGTTAGCAGGTTGCTGAGATCTAGAGGGGAGACGAAGGGCTGTTTACCAAGTTCGATTTGGCTCTCGGAGCCGTTGCAAGAGCAGCTCAGCCAAACACGGGTGGTGCCGAAAATCGGCCCGTAGACCGGGTCCTCGATGCGATAGACATAGCAATCGCTGCAGGAATCACCCAAGTGACCTTTGCCGCTGTACTACACCAGGAGAGTCAGCAACGGAAAGCACATGAAATTGGGTAGATAATCCGCATACCTGGATCTTGGTGCCCGTGTAGGTGAAGCATTGGTTGAGGTCGAGGGAAGTCGACTTAACCGTGCCCTTGCCGTCACCGGCGTTGCAGTTCGCCGTCAGAACCTGGGTTGCGGGGTCAATGTGTTCGTCCGTGCAACTCTTGCTAAAGTCCCCTGCAGCGACTAGGGACACTAGCATGGCAACGGCGATGGAGAAGGTCTTCATGGTGTGGGTATTGGATCTGAGATGAATGGACTGATCTTGTGAGACGATTGTGTCAAGGCTGGATGATGCTGCAGCAGAACTTATTGTCCAAGACCTGAACTTTCGAAGAGGCACATCGATTCTTTAATAGCCAGCTGCGAACATCGGAGAATAAGATGTTTTACCGGGTGCTTTTTACTTCCGCATCATAGTTCCGGCCGACGGAGTTTGCAGCGTCGTATGCTTCGCTGCTTTCGGTTTGCCGTTGCAACCGCGGAATGCGTTCATTTGACCATAAGAACGTGACATCCAATACACCCAGTACCCAACGGGCAGGTGCGGAGCATCACTTTCCATGTTTGTGAATCTTAAAATCCAATCAGGGAGGTGAACGGCCCGGGACTGCAACGGCGGCTATCTGCGCCAGCTTCATCAGAACTTTTGTCTTCCAGCGAAGCGGACCCGACCAAACCCCCGATGAGGAGGGAGCCGGCCGAGGGTCGGTGACAGGACAAGTCTGTTTGCCGTGTGATTATAACTCAGCTTCTAAGCAGGATGTTTGCCTCCCTTCTGGAGCGAACCAACGGTGAGGCACGCCCACCATGTAAGGTTACAATTAAGGCTTTGTCACAGCGGGACATTATGCAAGGGTTCCAAGATACCTGCATGCAGTGGATCTCTGACATACGGTCTAGACGCAGATCCTGACATGAAATCTCCTCATTTCGATCGTCCCGCGCGGTACTTGACGCTAGCCTTGATTCACTCACGTGTTGAGTGGACGGGCAGATCTTTCCGATCACGGGGCGTGAGAGTCTCATTCAAAGTCATAAGCGGAAAGGCTTCATGGGTATCTACGCGGAGTGAGGATTCAGGCATCGAGTTGCTGATTTGAGAACCTGAGTACCATCACTTGCCCCGTGGCCATGTTGAAAAATCCAGGTCTGGTTCTTTGGGGGTGGGCTCTCAGCACTCACATGTTGTAACAGATGTTTCTTGTTTGGAAACAAATGTTTACTCAAAAACGGCGAGAAACGACAATAATGGAAGGTGAGTGCCAAGAGGGGACAGTGAGAATAAGTACTTGATCGTGACACCGGCCGGCAAAAAGGTTCGGCAGGCCTGGTTGCCTCCCTTGTATCATGTCCCCGCCCCCACCTCCCGAGAAACCGGGTGATCCTCCATGGTTGCCACCAAACAAACCCGGAGGGTGGTTATCATATCGTAGGCCTAGGCCATTTTGACGGGAACTAGCGCGTCAAACGTCCCTGGCTCTCGACCAACCAACTGAAACGGTTGGCTGTGAAATATCTTACATGTGATTAGACTCTTGCGGAACGTTACTGATTTGTGACAGCGGAGGCATTGGAAATTTCATAGAACCCCAATGAAGAGACATCATGAGCAAGCACTCCATGATCATGCAAGAGATATGGAATGACTAGAAGTAAAAGGCCCGATGGACTCTACGGCAAGAATACCACATCGGTGAGACTACTTGCGAGGTTACCCCTCTAGAACGTCAACGACTTGACACATCTGGTCTTTGATGGTCGAGACTTTCTGGCCACTTTCTGGCCGCTGATCGCGTAGAGACTGTTCAATGAGGCAGGTGATGGATTACTTACCAAGCTATGCCCATCGCAAATGATGGCCCGATAGTTAGCCCATGTTGGTTCGGAAACAGCCATGTAGGTACAAGTAGTTTGGTTTGTTTAGTGGATGTGTCTTGCTTAAATGGCCACATGCATGGCATATGCACTTTGATGCATACCCCTTTTTCTCAGGAACACAAATTTCCTTTCGAGCTATCCTCATTGGCCGTCAAAGAGGCCGGTTAGACAACGGGTAGATAGTCTTCCACATGGAACGAGATTAACATCCAGAATCAAGAGATATCGTGCATTTTATGCAGTAAGGAGATACGTTCGAGAGTTCTATCAATGGCGGCAAGCAATATTGACAAAATGAACAAGTTGTTGAACTAGGCATGGGGAAAGGATTGTCGAACAATATTTTGGTACTTAGGTATGACTACAAAGAAAGGTGTTGACAAGTGCAGCCGATCGTATTTGCAACTTATCTGCGTCTACTTTCTTAAGTCAATCCAACAACTGGAGCCGCCGCGTCTTCAAAAGGCCAGTCAGGGGTTACCCTGACACCTGATTTGAACTCATCATGTTAGAACCTGGACTTTGTGCGACCCCGGGAGTCTAAAAGACTCGGTCCTATACAACGAGAAGGAGTAAGCGACCGAACATCGTAGTTGGCGTATCGAAAGAGAGGTTTCGAGTTATTCTTCGAAGAAAACTGGTTCAAATCATCGTCACTCACCCAGTTTTCTCTCAAGGGCGTTCACCGCAGGTTCTCCTGCACTGGGAAATGGCATGTCCGTCATAAATGCCAAGATCATCCATGCATTGCTGAACACACTAATGGGATCCGTTAGTCTAACCCATTACACGTTGTAAATTCACCTACAGCAGAAAGCTGACGCTTCTCAGCTTCCACAGAGCTTGCCGCAGTGGTCACGGCCATGGCGGCGGTCAGGAGCGTGACGATGGAGAAACGCATTTTGAGACTTGAAGGAAGTTTTGTGACTTGAAGACAGTGATAGTCAGACTTAAAGAGGTTGAAATTGTTGGGCTGGTGTGATTTATGAGACTGAGTTATAATTTGCCTTCCTGGGTGCTAGCATATAGTCTTTATAGCTCGCTGGCATTGACGACATTGGACAGAGAATAACATTCTCGGCAATACATTCTTACTTCCTACATCAGCAGAGATAACTGCCAGAGTCGCTAGTCATCTTGGCGGGGCAACGGCTAACTGACAATTACCCTATGAGACTTGCAGTTCTGGATGTAAGGGCAAGAGTAAAATCCTATAGGATCTGCCAAGCTATGGAAAGTAAGCGTGGCAACGTTCTCACTTTCCTATATGGGACTCAATCGGCAGAATGATAACACAGCCTGAATTCAAGTCAGGTTGCCTTCCTTTCAAGAACTAGGCGCTTCGCACTTACTGTGCAAGCCCAGCATCCGTAAATCTGGAAATGAATTAGTACGCGATAGTTTGACTGTATAGCTGTGGCACAGCTCCGTGATCCGAGACAGGCCGCAGAACATACCTGTCGTTGATCCTCTCGCCTCTTCATACCTGCCCGTGTAGTCTTAGCCCTCATCTGAGTTCTGACGAATTGATTGTAAACATTTCTATACCTGATGGTTGCACAAGAAAACATTCTTGGGGCCCTGTTACAAAGTATGGCAGGTCCAGGCGTGACCTTCAGCCATATTTTCCTGGACATATCATTCTTGAATGTCATTGGCCAGCTCGGACTTATTCAGTGTAGCCTGTATGATCCTAGAACTCAGTTCGATCCAAGAAACTACAGGTGCTGTGTCTTGTGAGCTATGAGACTCAACCTGTAACGAGCATTGATTTGGAGACAGCCTCAATAGAGCTTGGAACTACCCAGGTATCCCATATCTGGACCATGACTCTCACAAGATGGGTGAGTACTTGTCTAATAGCTCGGTACCATATCGCCCATAAAAACCATTCGGATCTGGACATGCGATCAAAAAACCCGTAAATTCCACGGTAATAAGGACTAAGGATCCCTTCAGACTACCTAAGCAAAGCATGGACAGCGACTGACTCATTCAGCCATGCTCGTCGAGTTGATTTATCAAGGCTTCCTAGAATAAGGTTATGAGTTCTGATACGCGAGTCACATATGGTCTAAGTACTGAGACTTCGAAAGCGTCGAGCATTTCTCTTGTATGTTCTCAAGACTCTTGAACCGGCCGATGGACCTGTGCTTTATTGTCAACAAGATGAGCGTGCAATTCAGTGCTGAAGGCTCATTCTGTATTCAGTCGTCTGAGTGTTCATGGAGCATTGTTGCGTAATCCTTCGGGGAAACTCGCAGGGAATTGCCCCGTTCTGTTCGTGTCATTGCCGCGTGGCTGCTCGGCGGGCAAGCTTCCATTCTTAAGGGTAAGTATTGTAGCTGCCACGTGGGAAGAGAGAAGTGAGTAAAAGTCTATTCTATCACTGTGTCGCGACATCTTATGAACGACACAAAAAGGCCCGCGCTTCCCATGGATCGAGTCATCCCCGAATCTGGACCGAGCCGGGCAACCAAGCTGCCTGTGCCTTTGCGGAGTCGAACATGCCGCTCCACGTCCCGTGGCAACCTGCCGTCTCTTTATGCTCTGGAACGACGGCTACAAACCTTGTCCGAGTCCACGACAGCGTAGCTCGCGTGGGCAGTAATTTGGGCTCGCAATTTTCTAGCTAGCAGACAGTCTGACTCAGTGCAACAAACTTGACGATGAACACCGTCCGTTTTGAGTTTGGCTTCGCACCGACAACTGCATCGCCCAAATGTCTCATCCGCATGCGCCGCCTCCCCGGCAGGCCTGGGTTGCTCCGATCCACATAGCTTCTCGTTTCGCTCGATCTAGACTGCAACCGGCTGTAGCGACATTAGTGACCTCATAAAGAGGGTGGAGCCCCCATCCTTCAAACACGCGCAATGATCTCGTAATCATGGCTAGGCGTTGGTTCTGGACTTTTTTTTCCATTACGTTCATGATCACGCCAGGTGGACAGGACGACTTGCCTCAACTCTCAGATGACACGCAGCCATGAGCTGGACCAGACTGCGCATCGCGGTTTGGCTAGCATGCCTCGCCGTGGATGTGATCGCAGCAGCGACTTCCTTACAACTGACCACAATATCAAATGCAACTTCGGCCGGGGTAACATCACCAGCCCCCCTTGACCCGGCAGCAGCCGCGATGGAGCAGATGGCAGCCTCGTTATCCCCATGCGCAGTAAGACCCCACTGATCTACTATTCTAAGTGTACGTTGACTCAGAGTATTGTAGTTGAATTGCACAACGACAGAGATTGCAAAGTCATCTTGCAACACAACTGACTTTGCGTGTATTTGCACAAATCATTTGCTAAACGGAAACATTGGCGCATGCTTGGCACAGCATTGCACTGTGACTGAGTCTCTACGTATGACATCACTTGTTTGGAAGCGGTCTTCTTTCGAAGCTCATCTTTCTCTTGGTTTACAAGACCTTGCATATAGATCATGCTGACAGGCGTTTAACTACCAGAGGCACAGAGATACTCGAAAACATCTTGCAGAGTGCCCGTTCGTCGTAACACAGATCAAGGTCCCATCACATGGACTCTCTTCTCTATTGCGCTGGTGGCTCTAGCCGCTCGACTGATCTCCAAAATCCCTTCTCTAAATCCTGCGTTCTCGTTCGGCTGGGACGACTGGTTGATCCTTGCATCTACTCTTGCGTTGATCCCAGCTGACATTGGATCGCAAATTTGTGTGTTCACGAGCCGGCATCCTTATTCAAGAACCATGGCTGACCATATCCGTAGTGATTGGCATAGGTCTGGGGCAGGACATATGGATGGTTTCTCCAGACAACATCACTCAGATTCTCTTGGTAAGGACTGGCCCCAATACCACATCCTCTCAATTAGTGGGGTTTCGATAGCATACTGACATAATGTCAAGCTTTTCTTCGTCGAGGAGCTTCTCTACTCATTTGTTGTAGCTGTCACCAAGCTGTCGATCCTCATATTCTATCTACGTCTCTTCGCCGAGACCTGGTTCCGGGTGGTTTGCTATATTATGCTAGGGGTCACGACGATCTACGGTATCGGGCAGATACTAGGTATCGTCCTCGTATGCTCCCCAGTGAGTTATAATTGGACGCAGTGGGACGGTGAGCATCAAGGAAAGGTATGTGTTCAAAGTGCCTTCACCCTGGCGTACTGCCATTTTATTCGGATCACTGGTTAACTTTGGGCTTCCAACTAGTGCGGCAACGTGAATGTCATGGCATTTATCAATGGAGGAGTGAATATTGCCATCGACTTCATTTTGTTCGTTCTGCCAGTCACTCAATTGTAAGAAGTTGTCAGAGGTCGATCAGCACTTGATTACTGATCAATGGATGTAGCATCACTGTCTCATGGACTCTTAAGAAGAAGATCGGCGTGAGCCTGATATTTTTAGTTGGTTTATCGTAAGTACCGCATACATATGACAGTATTTCTTCTAGCAGTTACTGATTTCCCCATAGAGTGACGGCCTCGAGTGGGATCCGGCTGGCTACATTGGCGAAGTTCGGCGGAACGCAGAATCCGACGTGTGAGTGAGATTTTACAGACTTGCGGAGATTGGAGCTAACTCTAGAATTCGCGTACAGACGATTACAAAGAACTATCGATTTGGTCATTGGTTGAGATGCACATGAGTGTCATCTGTGCATGCATGCCGGGTATGACTTCTTTCATCCGACGAGTGTCACCGCGAATGTATCGCATGAAGCAGTATACGCCCCAGCAGCCAGACAGGAATCAGCCACGAACAGGTCGTTCCGTTGCTCGCCGCATTCAAGACACTTTGGCACGCATCACTACAATCAGGATAACGGGCAATCGCTCAGGTTGGGAGAGCTCACAAGCAACGGGAAAGAGCAGCGGCACGGAGAGTTCAACAACTAGCGACCCAAGACCAAACGCTTACAAAGACTACCTGGTTTACGCACCCTATGCGGACGGTCAGGAAGGGGGAACTGAGTTGAACACGTTGAGAAGTAGAGAGGTTACGTAAACTTGTTGCAATGGCACAGGAAGCGCAGTAGAAAAGTACCCCTATTTCCAAACTCTGCCTCCAACTTTGAACCCAGATGATCATCTAGAAAAGTCGGAACTTGAGAGATCATTAATGCTCCCGAGGCCCGCCCGTGAGGTTGCAATCCCGTCGTAAGTCCAGTTGAACTTCATCCTTTGCATGATAATTTCAGGCGAAACTTTAGCTGCCGCCACTCTTGAGTTCAGCTGAACCTCGGATGCGCGGCTACACCTGGCTTGGTCCCATTGCTTCAGCTTACTGGGCAAATCCTCTTTTGTGAAGTCTGGGTGGACTAGAATTCTGAACGCTTCAGCATCTTCCAAAGCTTGGTTGGCTCCTTGTCCTTGATATGGCACCATAGGGTGGGCTGCATCGCCAATCAAAACAGTTGAATCTTTCGTAAAGGTACTTAAAGGGTCTGCATCACGGAGTTGATAGAGTTTGACGTCAGACAAGGTTCTGGTAATGTTGTAGTTAGCTTAGCGTTCCTTTATCTCGAGAAAATGTTGTAGGGCAGCTCACTTCATGAGTTGTAGAAGCCATGATGGAAAGTCCTTGAAACTCTCAAGCATTTCATGTACATCGCCATTCTTGGTCCAAGACTCTTCGGTCTGCTGCCGAAGCATACTGTCTGGTACAGCGCAAGCAAAGTTCATGACCTCCAGATCGCGGCAGGGGTATACAACAACGTTTCGGTTCGACCCGTCCGCCGCGATAAAGGAAGACAGAAAAACGCCATTTTCATACCTGAGCACATCCGGAATTTCTCCGAGAACATCCGATATTTTGGAACGGCTAATGGTGAACCTATACAAAGAAAGGTTCGCGGGAGTTGACTCGACATAACACGGACCAGCCACAGCTCGACGGACTTTCGAATGAATGCCGTCCGCACCTAAATATTCTTAAGGTTCAGTCGTCTTAGTTTAGCACAGCGACTAGACGTACCAATGATGAGATCCGCTTTGATCTCAGACCCATCTTCAAAGATTACCGCTCGACCTTGAGGGTCAATTTGCGTAACGCGAGAATTGTAGATAATCTTGGCAGGATGGCCAGATAGACTCAGATCAGGGCCTGTTGCAGCTCGTAGGAGAGCATCTTTGAGATCCTGGCGATGGACCATCCACCACTCGGAACCGAAGCCTTTGAGGCAGTCAATCCTTGACTCTTTGATCAAGTTGCCGTTTTGGTCATAACTCCTGAAGCCACTAGACACAACAGCTTTCAGGGACTCCTTAGTAAGTCCAAATCTCGTAGCCATCTTCGAGCCATTCGGGCCTAGCCCAACAGCAGCACCACTTTCTCCCGCTTCTGGATCATTACGCTCGTATATGATGACATCATGAGCCTCTCGCAAGACCCGTGCCGCTGCGAGTCCGGCTATGCCACCGCCGATAATGGCAACTTGAAGGGCTGTGGAACTTGTCATCTTATGCCCAGGCAGTAAAGCTTTTCTCCTAGCAGTCGAAAAATCGAAGTCAACTCTCTTTTAAAAGTAAAGAAATCAAGGTAGAAGTTGTGTGATGATGGTTTGAAATCTGACTCGATTGTGCCTCGCCCTCATGTTGGCTGGCGTGATAAGTCGTTCGGCTTTGTAGTTGGCCACAGCTTCTCTGAATCGAAACCGACACAGCTAACACGTATTTCTGCAAGAATTATGACTCGGTTGCCGCTTCTACCTCCCGGCAATGAGATAAACTTTCGTGTTATGCCCGTTGCTCTCGGACGACAGGTGGGTCTCGAGAACACCCGGCTTTCGGAAACCGGAGTCCGGAAAACCTGTTAGTATGTGTAGGTGTCAACTTTCCGTGCGACTAAAGATCTGTGACTGCGTTGGTGGGAGCTTGGCATTGCTCAAGTCTCGAGACTTGCCCTGTCGGATGTCGGCCGTTTTGCAAAAACGGAAAGCCGGCTTTCAGGATCGATGAAGCAGCTTGAGAAGAGATGTGTTTGCTAAGACCCCACAAGCCCAATCCAATCAGGAGCTATTGATCGCTGATTATGTCTGAAATCTGTTACGCAAAATGAGCCATGGGCTTTTGAGGGGCATAGGAGTTTTTTCTTTTCGAGATGAAGTCATGTCGTCAATGAATGGTGATGAAAAGGGGCAGTCGTGTCCAGGGCGATATACAAAAAGGAGTATTGCAAGTAGAACTTGGATCTATACTCTCATTACCTTTGAAATCGTCGATCGTACCATTACCGCCGCATTCTTCTAGACATGTTCTCGACTGTTTGGGCCTGGGTCCTTCTATGCGGCGTTGCTGCTGCCCTTGCTTATCGACGATCAGTTTCCAAGCTGTCTGGAATCCCCTTGGTTGGATTCGAAGTTAAAGACCCTAAACAACGAAAGGGACAATACACCTTCAATGCTCCCGGTATTGTGCAGACAGGATACGAAAAGGTATGCAGCTTCAAACTTTGTGGTGGATGTTCCGGACTGAAAGTTTTTTTTAGTTCAAAGACAGAATCTTTGGCGTGGATACAGCAGATGGTACGAGCAATTTCATATTACCGCATCACTCCTTGATTGAATATGCTGACACACTAGGTTAGGTGTCAAACTCATCTTTCCGCATCAATATGTGGACGAAATCTCGAAAGAGCCAGGACTTAGCTTCCAAAACTCCCTCGACGAAGTAAGACCAAAGGGGAACTGAAGCCCGACTTGTCATGCTAAGAAAGCTTAGGATCTATTGATCGATTACACGTACATGGGCGGACTGAAGCAGTTTGCATTGTCTACCTTCAAGCGGGAAGTCACACCTCATCTTCGTCAGTTTCCCCTTCAAGATGCTTTCGATGATGTGCAGAACTGACTTTCGCCTTCTCCAGCCATGTTCATACCTGACTTCATTTCACTTATTGACGGTTATATCCCCAACGCACTCACTGAATCCGAAGGCAAGTTGCGAATACATACTCTCCAACCAGCCTAATCTACTTAAAACAACACTTGACTAACGTACCTTGATTACCGATAGAATGGACTTCGGTCAACATCTATCCGAAAATGCTCCGTATGCTTGGCATACTCACAGCAAGAGTCATGATTGACAGTGAGGCCCCTCACAACGAGACTTGGGTGACTCTGACTACCGAGTATCTGCATGCTGGGGTAAGGCACGCGCATGCTTTGAAGTTCTGGCCTCCAATGCTAAGGCCGGTCGTCCATCGATTTGTGTCAGGATACGCCGAGGTTCAGAGGCAGCTCAACCTCGGAAGGTCGATAGTTGTCGACGCTATCCGCAAAATTGATGAGCGAGAGAAGAACGGCGTACCAGAGCCCCAGCCGACGAGTGTGCTTTACCATATGTCTCGCAAAGCACCAGGTACTTCTTCCGCGGTCATTGACATGCATCTCAAGGAGCAACTGAATCTGGCTGTGGGAGGAATACACACCACCTCCGCCGTGCTCACCCAAACGCTTTTCGAACTTTCGGCACATCCAGAGTATATCCCAGAGTTGAGGAAAGAGGTGATTGATACTTTGATCAAATTCAATGGTCAATTCTCGAAAGCTGCTTTGTGGGATATGCACAAGTTGGACAGTTTCATTCGCGAGACTCATCGCCTGAACTCGCCGAACCTCAGTATGTCATTCGTTGATTGTTAGCCGTGAGTGGATCTAACGATATCTCAGCAACTTTACAGAGACGCGCTATCCAGGATGTCACCCTCTCAGATGGTACCTTCATCCCGAGTGGTACAAAACTCGAGTTTCCAACGTTCGCCATCCACCGTGATAGTGAGTTCTTCGTTGACGCTACTGAGTTCGACGGATTCAGATTCTTGAGACTGCGTCAAGAAGATGACAAAGATGGCGGAAAGCATCACTATGTCAGCGCTCGCAGAGACATGTTGGGCTGGGGTTTTGGCAAGACGGCATGTCCTGGGCGATTCTTAGCCGATATCGAGATCAAGCTGATTGTCGCATTCATCCTGATGAACTACGACATCAAGAACCCGGACGGCCAAGGCAGACACGCGCATATTCATTTTGAGAATCAGGTTGGAAATTCTGTTGCTCAAGGCTACATGGGCATTGACTGACATTCATGCAGGTTTTCCCTGACCCCGTCAACCCAGTGCTCATGAAGAAGATTTTGCGTGAGGACATTGACGGAAATGGTTATGTGAGACAGCAGAACAAGGTACTTCACGTGAATTCCCCGGATCAGAGAGTGATGATCAACCTTTCTTGATATGGCATATTCTAGTTGCTGTCTGTTTTAGAAATTGGAAAGTCAGCAATCGGCAGACACTTTTATCCTTATTTTATGTACGCCTCTGCATTGAGTAATATCTCCTAGTAAAAAAGTAGCACATGGACCCTTCCCGGTTATCTTTATATTGCACTGGTCCCTAATTGAGCTGTACTTGGCAATCATTATCTACAATGTTATAGCTTGAGGTCAAAGTCTCGGTGTGGCATGCCCCAGAAATGTGTCATGGTGTTCATCCCACCGGCATCGGTGGCCGAACCCCACGCGCCCGAGATCCCCATCGATATGGGTCACTCGGATCAAATCCATCCCGATCGATGACCCCTTCACTTAGCTAGAGATCTCCGTCCGAAGTCCGTCCGGGTATTGAAGTGTTGGTTCCAACCAGCGGTACTGGCTTCCGGCCAGGCTGCCCTACTCGTTCCTTCGCCATCCTTCTGCCTTGTTCACACCCCTTTCGGGCACAATATTCCGAACTGGAAACAACTGCAAATTATATGGTCAGCACTGTTATGACGAACTTGATTTGCTGCATAGTACAGTATGGCCTTTCAGATTGGGACAATTGACGATGCAGTGCCGAGGAATCGTGCCGTAAGTGGTCCCACCTTTCTGCTGGTGAAGAAGTACCGGATACTAATCCAGGCCTAATTAGTGTGACTTTTGCTTCGAAAAGAAGGTAAGCACTTGCTGCGACTGTGGTGAAGTATTATTTTTCGAATCTTCATGTTGTACTGACCTTGTTGAAAAGATCAAGTGCGATAGAGAGGATCCTTGTGCCAATTGTCGAGCAGCCTCCGTGGATTGTTTACGCAGACGGCCCAAGAGAAGAATTAGACATGCAGCTTATGTGAGGTGCGTTTTCCAATCTTCTAGTAGGCAATGAAGAGTCTAATTCGACGACACCAATTGACACATGAAAATGATGTAGAAATAATTCGCTTGCCATCACATCGACTCGGAGGAACCCTCCGTCGCCAAGAACTACAACTCGCAGCCCACAAGCTGCTCCCCATCAATTACATGGCAACTTTTCAGCTCTTGAACAACGCTCAGAGCCAAGATTTCATGATGAGGGAAACGTGCCAGGGGAAACACCTGCTTCTCAGAACAGCAAGCAAAAGTCAACTTGTTCCACCACCACTGAAACGGGACCAGCTGCTGCACAAGCTCACAGTCATATTGGATCGGAGCTGGAGTCACGCCTGGGGCTAGATGCAGGAAAACGGGAAGTTCTCAGAGCAGCTCTGGCGTTTGCAAAGCAGGCGTCCCAGCAGCCAAGCGTCATTGCGTACGAAGAGGATTCCTCGGAAGCCTTTGATATCTTCAGCGAAACATCTTATCCAACAGCCGAGAGTCTTTATCTGATCCTTTCAAGTCAGTAACCTCCTTTCCTTGTGTCCTGTCGAATAGTGCTGACGGAATCCAAGGCCCTCGAAAAAGTATTGGCCAGTCTTTTACAATGGACATCGGGTCTGTCATTTCTGAAGAAACGCTAGAGCGTCAAGCCCTTGAACTGATTGAAAAGTCTGTCAATGGTGCGACGCGTGTTCATTACATAGTGACTGTGAACTTCTTTGTCTGGATGTATCTAGGAGCCTCCAACTATCATACGACGGGCTCCATTATGGCACAGCATATTCTAAAGAGGCGCCAACAGTATGAGAAGAACTTGCAGGCAGCTTTATGCCGTATAGGCGTCCTGGACCAGCCAAGCTTGCCACTGCTTCAAGCACTGCTTTCCGGTGTAAGTATTGCGCGACTCATTCTCTTGAATTCTTCATGCTGAGACTTTCAGGCCATGTTTATGCTCCTCTCAGGGAAATTGGAGATGTGTTGGCAATTGAGTGCGTCAGCATCGAGAGTATGCATGGCCTTGGGTGGACCTCGCCGGATCAGCTCTCAGACCATGGCTGCCCATGAGCTGCGAGAAACTCGGTATACTTTATCGATTTGCTACATGTTTGATAGAGCGCTGGCTCTGAGTATGAACCGCTGCCTCGCTCTGCCTGAATTCGACATGAACCCTACGGAACTGGTGCCACCAGACGCAAAGAAGCCATATACTTCACTTATTCAAGTGTTTCTGCAATTGGCCGAGGTTCAATCCGACATTGCCCACCACACGAAGATCAAGAATATGAAGACACGGGAAGATGTTGAAACAGTCCAAACATTGCAAGGAAAGATGTGGAAAATCAAAGAAACGATCAGAGAGGTGGGGGCAATCGAGCACATGGAATAGGCGGAGAGCTTTTACTGATTGAGGATAGTGTCAAAAGCAGCCATTGCATACCGAGGAGAAATATCTTCAGGCCGAGTGGATGGGCGTAGATTTTGTCTATCATTCCGTCATGACATCTGTTGTCAAGCTCCACCCGTACCTGATGGATGATACTGGTCTGCACCAGCAATTGCTTGGCTACGCTCGCACATCTCTAAGCTCCCTATCTGAGATGTTGAGCATCGCTAAAACTTTGGTGGATTTTCACCTATTTCGGGTTTCAGTTTCGTGGTAAGTCCAATTTTTGAGTTCAAGTTTCCTTCGAGAAGACATTATGGCTGATAGCTGACTGCTTAGGCTTATTCTGTTATATCCCGTTTACCCCTTTTTCGTCATTTTCACCCACACAGTCAACACCTCGAGTCTTCAAGATTACAGCTTGATAACTCAGGTTACAACGAGACTCCAGGAGTTCGCTGGTCATAATCCAGCTTTGATGGGAGTCCAAAAGCTTTTCGAGGAATTCGTTCAACTCTGCAGGCCTATCTTTGAGGTGAACAAGTCGATCGATGCCACATCCCCGCCACTCCTAGAAATAGCAAGTTTGCCAACGCAGAAGACTACGTCGCACACTCAACATAACAGGGTTTCTCAAGGTCTTTCAGGTCCTTCTGAGATAGGGTCTTTCACATCATTGGTACAGGATGCACTCTCTATCCCGGTAACAGGGGATCATGCAGCCAGCGGGATCACATTCCCTGACCTGAGCACTCTGGAGGAGAACGAATTGCTAGCAGAGTTATATAGCACACATCCATCAATAGGCTGGATAGATGGCAATTGGTCAATATCGTAAACTTCTAAAGATTGAGTTGCGAACATTGAGGTCAATCAAGAAACATTCCTCCAGAGACATTCAAACTGGCACCATTGATCCAGCTTGCTCTCTCCTCCGCCAAAAATGCCACTGCAAAAGCGACATCTTCAGGTAACCCAATCCATCCATCCACCGGAGTCCTGGCATCGAATATCTGCGTCAGAAAGGCGCCGCCAGTTCGCTGCAATTCCCCAAGGAACTGTGGCGATTTGATAATACCAGGAGACACTGCGTTCACCGTACATCCGTAGGTAGGTGGTAAATCTTTCGCCAGACAACGGGTAAGAGTCGCAATCGCACCCTTACTGGTGGCATACGCCAATTGTTGAACCTCAGGGTCTGTCGATACAGCAGAAGTGATGTTGATGATCCTGCCGCCGCCGCCCTCCGACTTGGGTGGGAGATGCGGTAACGCTGCTTGACACACCAAAAATGGTCCGCGGACGTTGGTTGACATTGATGCATCCCATAAGTCGACGGTTGTGTCCTCTACTTTAGCGAGTGTTGCTTTGGCTGCATTGTTGACGACGATGTCGATCTTCCCGAATTTGTCCACGGCGGCTTGCACAAGATGAGAGGGGCCGCTCGTGGTCGATACGTCTGCTTCCACGGCAATCCAGGGGCTCGACAGGCTTTCCCCGAGATCGTTCGCAGCGCGTTCCAACTCGGGCCATCCATAGTTGATCACCACCGAAGCCCCTCGAGCTGAGAGTTCTCTAACAATGGCAGCCCCGATGCCGGACGAAGAGCCCGTCACTAGGGCTACCTTGCCTGCGAGCGCATTGGGTACGGCGTCTTTAGGGGGGTTGATTCGTTTGCGACTTGCAATAGCTTCCATTGTCGAATCGTCCAGTTTGATGGCCAATTGTTCGACTTTGACAGATCACTTTATTCAAGAGCACGGAGACTATCTGTTCAAAACCTTGAAGAGATATATCAGACACCATGAGCGCTTCAACCTCAGTCTAAATTACTTGTCGTCCAGATCTTGAGTGGGCCGGGGAATTCAGGACTGGAGTCGGACCACATTCGCGGCCGGAAGTTGCACGGCGTTCAAAGAAACAAACGTCCGAAACCCATAATCACCGCGTGATACTACCTTATGATGAGATCATGAGATGCTTTCCGCCTGTTCGGCTAGGCGCTCATGTTGGTGTCGATGAATCATGCCGAAACATGGGTCATTCATGGTTCGGATTTCGGCCGGAAATCAGTGCTGCCAGCTTCCGGTCTTCCGGCCCATGCGACAATGCTTCTTTTGATTTCAGCCAACAACAATGACTAGGAGAATTATGACGCATGAGTCCAGGATGTTACTGTACCAGCTAAAGACTCCCAGCTGGCCGATACTCGTCGGCAAAGAGAACGTCAATGATCGCCTTCGCTTCACTTAAGGGGAAGAATGACATCCTGGTGTTAGATTGAAACGTGAACCATTGCGGCAGCACATCAGAGGAGCCCATTAACAAAATGTCGACATCTTTCCAAAGTCTGGCTGTAGTAGAAACACTTCCGGATGCTGATGGTGTCACTGGCCTGGCTGTGGTCGCGACCGATTCATCAGGTGAGTCTTCGTGCAATATGGTGGTTTCCAAAGCGCAGGCTTCCAGGACCAATCGATGTGAGGAGACTACTCACATTCGTCAAGGGAAGCAACTCATCGAGGACTACTTTGGTCGAAGCAGCACCATCAAGTCAGACAAAATCGGAAAGGACAGTGTGTTCTGGATCTACTCGATCACGAAAACAATTACCGCGATTGCTGCTTTGCAGTGCGTGGAGCGAGGCCAGATCAAACTAGACGATGAGGTTTACGATGTTCTTCCTGAACTCAAAGACTTCAAAGTCCTTGGCCATGACCAAGCGGGCAACGTGACACTTCACCCACACAAGGAGAAGATCACCCTTCGCCATCTGCTTTCTCACACCAGTGGCATTGGTGTCGACGTCTTTGATCCGAGACTTCAGGCCTGGCGGATGTCTCGTGGAGAACACCCGCAAGCCTTTTCGGGAGACTCAAAGAAGGCATACACTATCCCTCTCCTCTTCGAGCCAGGCCATGGTTGGGCCTATGGAGGAGGCGTCGAGTGGGCCGGGATCCTAGTCGAGAGACTGACCAAGACGAAGCTCGGCGAGTACATGAAGACCAGCATCTTCGAGCCTCTGGGAATGGCTAGTACAACATTCCATCCTGACAGAGATTCTACAATCAAGGAGAGACTTGTTGAGACAAGTACGAGAATCTCGGATGGCACACTCGTGCCCATGGAAGGTCCTTACCCCGCTGTCACGGAGGACGACAGTGGAGCTATGGGTCTCGTCTCGAGTGTACCGGACATCGCCAAGTTGACATCTGACCTTCTTCAAAGTAAGCCGATGATTCTCGGCGAAGAGTCTTTGAAGGAGTTGTTCTCGCCACAGTTCAGCGCCGACTCATCATCCGCTGGGATGCTCGCTTATGGTGCAGTAAGTCTGCCATGAAATCATCTCGTCGAGATAGGGACACTAACAAATTTCAAGATGATGTACGGCCGGCTGACTGGAGAGGAGTATGATCCTTCAAAGATTGGTCAAGCTCCAGGAGCTTACTTCATCAAGGAGGACACTAGGATCCTGCCTGGCGGGACACTCGTCATGACAGGAATTCCGAATCTGGTCTGGTTTGTGAACCGCGAGAAGGGGATAGGCGGCTTCTACGCGAGCGCTATCATGCCGCCTGATGACGCCAAAAGTACAAAGTTGATACAAGAGTTTGTCAAGGAAATTTTCAGCGGAAAATGAGGGTCAATATCACCTCGTTGCGTTCAAATCCTTCAGGCAGATATGATGTACATATATCAAGATCTTGTGCAGTGTATTGAAATTATGCAGTAATTTTCTCGAAGAGTGCGAGAAGATCGGCGCACCGTTCATTTCAACCCCTGGATTCAGCTGCTCGTTAGCGCCATCAGAAGACCCTTGCTGGCATCACCGCAGATCAGCTAGTGCTCCTCGGATTGGCTTTCATTGGTCAAGACTCGGATGAAAGACACATCCCAAGGAAGCAAAAGAAAGCACAGGATGCAGCCTTCTTGTTTCCCATACTGACTCTGTCTGGTCTAGCTTCTGAACCAAAACCACCGGGTGAGCCGGTGAGAAACCGCTACCTATCACACTAAAGGCCCATGATTCCAGGTGTGCTAGTCACGCTAATCGAATGATCACTAATACATCTATTTCGCAGTGTGATGCTCTCAAGTCAGCAACGGGAGTAGTTTGCCATATTGCAAGATAATGTGCGTGCCCATGCTCGTTGTAACAGAATGCAGACACAGATCAAATGTCATCACTTGTTCGCATCTGTATAAGCCTTCCAAAGTTCCACGGGCATCACAAAACGAAAAACGGGCCAAATTTGGCGAGTCATGTCCCAGGAGAACATTGCTGGGTGCAACAATCCTCGAGGCCCATACTCAATTTGACGTCACTAGTGCAAGCAGCAGCACAATCCATCCGACTCGAACTAGTCTCGATTCTCCTTAGATTTACGCCTATACCCAAGAGATGCTCCCTTTGTTCGGGAGCTAACGCCAGAATCTAGGTCCCCGCAGACGCTCCACGCTTGCCCTCCCTTCAGTGTGTCCCTTCTTCTCTGTTCATTCTGCCAGAAATTCTCCATCACGAAAGGAACATCACAGCCAGAAGCACTTGAAGTAGATCAAAATGGCCGAAACGACGACATTACCACATATCTCAAGCCTAGTACAGCCTGCGATACGAACAGTGGTATCCGGCGAGGATAACTGGAAGGGCAAGACGAGCCCTGCGGAGAGACGGAAGATCCAGAACAGGCTCAATCAGCGAACGTGGAGTAAGCCGCGCACCCACCTCATGCAACCTGCTTACGCCCGCCTTTGATTGCCCATCGTTTGATGGAATTTTCGACCACATCTCGTCCAGTGACATGTGCTTACTCGTCTATCTTTCGCGACAGGACAACGAAGAAAAGCTGAAAAGCAACAGCAGCGCCAGGCGAAGACCCGACAGTCTGGTACGGACGAAAGAAAACCCTCGTCCAGCAGCAGCCTGTCGCCGCCGTCCTCCAGCGCCATCGTAGCAAGCTCGAAGTGGGCAGCGGCATTACCAGCCGCCTCCGTGGCCAATGATAATGACACGACGACCTACGTGACGGTGGAAATGTCTCGGCAGGGCCTATACAAGTCGAAAACGAGCTCGCAGAGAAGCGCAAAGTACACGACGCTGATGGCCTTGAAGTACATCGGACGGCAACGACAAATTGCAGACATTCGGGACGAGGACTTGGACGACATATATCAACTGTTCCTGCAGCACGCGCATGAGAGTCGAAGGAGCCCGAGCCCGGATCCACTGTCGGATTCACTAATACCGCTTGTGCAATTCAATCTGTTCCGCGGCTTAATGGAGAACATGAAGACTTTGGGTATCACTATGCCCATGATCTGTGACGATGACTGCGTGTCTCCCTTTGGAAGCGATCCTACGTATAATGCCAACACCGCTTGGAATATCCCATACTTTTTGAAGCCGACGGAGACGCAGCTGACAACCATACACCATCCCTGGCTTGACTTTTTACCCCTACCGAGGATGCGGGACAACTTGATCAAGGCTGGGGATGACTGGGACGACGAGGCGTTGTGTCTAGACATGGTAGGCGATGGAGATGCGCCATCTGGGAAAGGAGGCATGATTCTGTGGGGAGAACCATGGGATCCCAATAGCTGGGAGGTCACAGAGGACTTTGTCGAGAAGTGGCGGTGGATCCTTGAAGGCTGCGAGGAGATCATCAGGTCGTCTAACTACTGGAGGGCAAAACGAGGCGAAAAGAGGATGAGGGTGAGAATATGAAGACCAAGTTGCTCCCATGGCCATAACTACATCAACGCCATGTCCCACGGTTGATTGATTCTTTTGATCCAGGTGCCTGTGAGTCGGCCGCGCCATTGGCAGTAGTTACAATCAGGTGGAATGAGACACGGCGTCCGACCAATCCGTGACTTTCCACGAGGCGCTTGCAGATGATCCGGCCACCGGCAAGCCGGTGACGCGAAGGCTGGGCGGCATTGAGCTCACTACGCCCGATGCACCACGCGCTAGAGCCAGCTTGCCAACTACATGTTCAGAATCCCCTGTAATCCCCCATGTGGTCCTTGGTTCGACTCAACTTCGGGAGGTGGGGGAACAGTCGCCGTTGTTATCAATATTCCTCGCTCCAGCGTCGAGGTCGGTCAAGAATCAGAACTATTCTCAAAGACGGCATTGCTGCCCATGCCGATCGATCAAGAGTACCACAACGGCGAACATTCTCCGAGTCCTCGACGACCAGGGTATTGCCAACCTCCCAGGCAACAATAGCGAGCCATCTGCGCAATTGCGACATTGACAAATGGGGCTGGGTGATCTACCGCACCACATATGGTGACGATGAAGCTTGGGAACGTTGCAAAGAGATCATCACCTACCGTACGCGCCGCAACATCGCAGACTCGGACGCACCAGAGATTGCAAAATACCTCGAGTTGACTTTTGTTGACGACAAATCCTTGTTTGATGGGGCCTCAAAGCATCAACTCCGATCTCATTTTCGCACCTGGTCCCTGGACGCATTTCAATCGGAGAACCCAAGAGTGAAAGATGTGAGCGGAGACCTAGGATATTGGATGCAAGGCTGTGGCGTCCCTCGACATGTGTACTTCTTCCAGGTAGACCTGGAGTCCCTCCGGAGTATCGTGTTCGAAGCGCCTCAACCGCCTGATTACGATCTTGACCTTGAGAGCCACATCAACTTCATTGACGCCTACTGGAAACCGCTGAGAGAACGGGCAGAAGTGCTACAACATACAGACCAAGACGAGATCGATGCTTCCGAGACCGCTTATGAGCCTATCGAGGGATGCGGGGAAGAGAACGTCGGATGGATGAAGGTATCTCCTGAGACGATGGGTTCCGATTGGTATGAGGTATGGCTCGGCAGTATCGGCGGCGATGCCAGCATGTGGTATGCCTTCTACAAACGCCCGCCCGAGAAGGTGTACTGGTGAGAAAGACGCCTAGAGCTTCGTAAATTCGTTGCAACGACTGCGACGCTCATCCAGTCTCATGTGGCGATAAGCACGCTCCGATGGCAGAATCATTTTCAAAGAACGGCGCACACATGAGAGGGGTGGGCGTCAAGGCGACAAGTGCATCTAAACGCCGCTTCCCTGCGCCTCGGGGATCATGGGTCGAGGAGAACTTGACAGTGCACCTCAATTCTATTCTCAACTTTCTCATGCTGATGACGACGTTGGCACGATGAGCTTTCTTTCCAGGCCCTTACTGAATTCAAATTCTCTATGCTGCCAAAGTACAATTGCAGCTCGCTTTTTCAATAGGGCGTCTCATTCGCACAGGCAATTCTTAACCATTCACCATCTCTCGCCAGCTTTTGGCGGCTCCCGCTGCGCTTCCAACGACGGGAAAGGCTCTAAGCCTGGGATGGATGTCGACCGCGAGTCTGAGCTTCTCAGGGACGAAATCCAAGATTTCGATAAATGGGGCTAGGTGTTTTACGGGTGCACATATGACGACGATGACGCTTGGGCTCGCTTCAAAGACATCATCAACGACACACCCCGACAGGGCCGCGAGTAGTACGAGTATCCAGAAGTTCTTGATAAAATAAAGTGGACGTTCTTGTAGGACATACGACATTTTAATGGCCCTTCCACGACCACATTACGCTCTCACTTCCCCGAATGGGTGAAGCAAGCAGCACAGGCGGGGATTTCACCAGAGACACCGCCCCGAGAGTCCAGCTCTTCCGGCTTAGAGGGCAGCTCTGACGTCACGATGTATGATAGATATTTTATGCAAGTCGACGAAGTATCGTTGCGCAGTGTCGTGTGCAAGGAGCTGCCGCCAGCCGAAGTCAACGTCTACGGCCGCGGACACATCAACCTGGTGAACGCCAACTGGCATCCCACGCGTCTGGAAGATTATCACGGAGAGAAAACATGTGTTATCGAAGAAGACTTCAGATTCCCAGCCTTCGAAGGATGTACCGAGGAGATCGTCGGCTGAATGAGGCTAGCAGTGAGTGAAGTTGGTCGGTTTGCGATTCAGAGGATCCCTCATCTGTGGTACACCGTTAATAAGAGACCTCCTGAAATCATGTACGGCGTGTACAATGGGTGTCATGTAGTGTCCAAGGATGTATGAAACGCATGTAGAAAACATCGTTGCTCATTATTGTGTACTCGTGTTTCTTTCGTTCAATCGGGCTTCCGCACGTGCAAAACATGAGCTGCCTAGGTGCGTGAATTGTTTCCATACATATACTCCAATGCCATTTCGATGGGAATCATGAAACCAACTCCTACTCTGCGATGGCCGTCTAATCCTTGGCGCCATCTGTTTCGAACCAACCCTGTTGGTACATCGCCATGCCAAAGCCAGACGCTTGGCTTACCGCCATACACTTGTCCATGATCCACATCTTCGTGTCTTTGTCGGCAAAAGCAGACTTGAGCACGGCTATCATGGGCCAGAACATACACCAAGCATTGAATCCAACGCCCTGTACGGTGCAGGCTGAGTCTCTGCCATCGAATCCGAACACAATACGGATTTGCTCGCAAACTTGCTCCATCGCCGTCAGTCCATGAGGGAGGTTGACGAGCGTCTTCAACTCTTCACGCGTCGGTTCTCCGAGAGCAATTGATAAGCTTAGAATGTACTCGATGAGGTGTAGTCTGATGGTGAGGTAAAGACCTTTCGCTATCGCATCGCTTGCGTCCGATTTACGGCCCAGTAAGTGGTTGAAAGAGTTCAGGTCTTCGTCGACAGCGCCGTCAGGTCCGGGTTTGTTTCGGGGCCCGGGGGATAAAATCCTGTAGTTCGCAGCTGCTTCTAGGTCGCGTATTATGTCGATGCCTATCTGGAAGATTTCTGTTACGTGACCGACGGATGCTCGTTCCATATCTGCCGATGATAGCACGTGCTGGACCATGTGTTTGTAGTCGATGGCTCGAACGAGCAGCGGTTCAACCATGCCGCCTTTCGCCCATGCTGCTTGTTTCAAGCCGACTAGAACTGGTGATCGACCTTCCTGGCCGATGAATATTTCGAGCATCTGAGGTGGATTAGTGACCGACCGTAACTAGCCTGTCATTACAAAAATACTTACACCCAGGTGAACCACAAACGCAAGGAGGCCCTTGTCGAGTGATGTGGCAACACCCTGTTCTGCTCGATACCTCAGCAGTGCGAGAGAACCTCGACAATGCGATGTTATTTTCCTTGGAGATGTATCTGGTACTATTGCCTTGGAGTATGTTAGGGTCTCACGTCGAAAGATCCATCCTCATCGGTGAACGTCTCTTTCACCAGCCTCACTCAGTTTACTTACCTCGAAAAGGCCGAGAGTGAGCAATGCGACAACAACAGAGTCGTCTTGCGCTGTCGAGTTATCCTTCAGTGCGCCGCCAATCTTGCTAATCGCCTTGCAATAGTGTTGCCGCGCTTGAGCCATCAAGCCTGCCTGACACATCTGTAAAGATGAGCTGGCTAATGCCGTGGCTTTGAGAGCCTCCTGTAAGACAGGCGATGATGCAGCCGACGACTTCATGCCGGGGAAGAGGTTGAACAAAGCGACCTCGCCTCCGGATGCATAGTTGGAGTAAAAGTGGTTAAGTGAGATGAGCTCGGAATCGACATGGAAGGCTTTCGGTACGGTCCTCAGCCTCCTCTGGATCTCCTCTTCCTCTACTGAGTCCGGAGAGGTTCCCTCCTCGTCGACTTCCAGAATTGACGACGTTGGGTCGAATGCACCTCTTTCCTTCAGTCGTTTAGCGACCCGAACCTGAACCTGGTGAGCCGCCGATGCGTTCTGTTGGCGATGCACAACGGCCCACGGATCCGCGTAACCCGGACACGCCCTCCCGAGACTCGTACAGCGGTTACATGAGGGCTTTCGGAGATCGCACTGGCGGCTTGCGTTAGATTCAATTCACTTCAAAAGGCCAACTTGAGAGTCGGCAATAGGCGTTCGGAGTCTCAGTACTTTGACTTTGCGCGCCTTGCAGGCGAAGCAGCTCGCTGACGGGCGACATCCCATCGTATCCGTCGGCTCCGGTCCTCTGTGGGCGATGAACCCCCTGGTGTGATCCCGACCCCCCACCACTTCTGCGAAAAGATGGAACGTTAAGCCAGCTCTGCGATGAGCTCAATCGGACATTGGTTTGATGAGTGGGAGCTCGTGGGATACCGAGGACGGCGACGGCTTCTTCGGGAACGCGGCTTCGTTGACCTTTTTGAACAGGCGATCGTTCGCTGGTCGTTGGCTGAGCATAAAGAAGAGACAGCTAATTAGGGCGCGGCCTGGCGTCTATCGAGGCTAGCTGTTCCCTGATCCGAGGCACCGGGCGTGCGGGGGCCACCTCTCGACGATTTTAACTTTCAGCAAATGGCTCCAACACGCAACGAAGGAGGGAGTCCGTAACTGCGAGACTGGGTGGCTGGACAGTGACGAAAGCGTTAGCCAGGCAAACGGAGGTGATGGTGGTGGCGTCGAGTCATTTGTGAATTTCTCACGCCTTGAACGTATCCCAGCTGGCGCCCATTGAACCCGGAAGCTTTGCAACAGGACTGAATCGTGTTTGATGACGTGGTCAAAGCGCCGAAACCTAAACCATTGTCTTCCGAACGGTCAATGGCGGGATTCCTGTCCGATGGATGGTATTTCACAGGTTTCTGAGGTTCATTTAAGCTTTTGCAACGCGTGGGACTTCCCATTGTTGATGAGATTGTGGGACAAGAAGGCTGCTCCAAGCCTGCAAGACTCTCACACAGTGATTTACGTAGTGAAGGGATGCCAGGCTGGGTGGTTGCTGAGGAATCGCTTGGCACCCAAGCTCCCTCGTCTGGAAAGATCAGACAGATCGGGTCAAGCCTCGGGCCCCTGAACATCAAGGGATTTGTAGCCTCGGCCTGCCAGAAATAGCATTCGTCCCGAAACTCTGAATAAGTTCATTCACTGACTGCACGATGGCCGTTGACTATCTCGCTCAGGTCGAGACCGTCCTTTTGAGTGGATCAATCACACTCTGGCTGACGTCCTCGAGGTCACCCACACTCTTGGAACACGCACATCAGACATTTTGGGAACCATTCACTTGGCAAGCTATATGTCAAAAGTCCGTTTAAAGATGACAATGACTGAGACGTGTCAGAAGAGCTCTGAGATGAACGTGTACTCCTACTTCACGCGTTCGAGGTGGCACACGGTTCAGGCATGGCTTGGGACGACCCTTGGTTCGACAAGGCATCAGGATGTGTAAAAGCGAGATCATTGATGACCACATCTCATGTAATTGATTCAGAAGTACTATCATTAATGCTACTGTCAGCTCCGGTGTGGTGTAGAGCCTTCTCGGCCGAGTGCTTGCCGATAGACTTTCGGATTCGGTCTAATACACCGAACGATCCTCTCGACGCCGTTTTCTCTCCTCTTGTTCGCGCTGAACGTGATATGAGACCATGCTCTCCAAGTCATCCTCCCATCGATGAGTTTCTCCCTCGGATTTGACATTGGTGAGACCCCAGTCAAACAGAATCGTGTTGATCTCGCTGAGACAGTCGGCTTCTGTGATACCCCCATTTCTCTCCGGGATGACGATGTCTCCGTGTTCCTTCTTTAGTCCATGAATTTCATCCTTGCGATGCCTTCCTGCCGCTCTTCTCTCTTTAGCTTGAAGCAGCAGGACTTTGGTAATCTCCATCCTCCGGCGGATGCGTCCGCTGGCGGGAAGGCCGCTGGCGGGAAGGTTTCGTTCGTCTGGTGTGACAGACTCCTCACTGCTGCTGGCTGATGAAGTTTTGCTGGACAAGCTGCGTGTAGTGTGTGATATGGCTACTTGGAGCCGGAGATGTTCTTTGAGATCCTGTTTGAAAGTCTCGAGTTCGGTGTCGTGAGCTTGTCTAAGCTCAGCTAAGAGCGTGCGATGGAGCGTTTCCAGGACGCGACGCTGGATGCTATAAGCTGCTACTGCTATTTTGATGTCGTAGGTGGTTGGTATCTTCTCATTCATAGAGTCATCGTGTTCAGATCTAGCGAAGATCTTCTTGAGACACAACATTGGCTCTGATATGCTGAGCGACTTCTTTGATATGGTGTTCTTGTTTCTGAACTTGATGCGAGTGTTCATGAATCCGTCCATAAAACGATTATGGAGTGTCTAGTGTTCAATTGTCTCAGGCGACGAGGAACAAACTTGATAGGGTATCGCAATGCTGGAGGACAGTAAATGCCCGAGGAAAGGCTCGGGTCTTACCCTCGATGGTGCAACTATCTCCGATGCGCCAGAGGAAGACTGTTTCGATGTCATAGTCGAAAGGGTGGATCTTGTCAGAAGTGTTCATACTCAAGAACCTCTTCGGGCTCAAACTTAATGCTACCCACGGTTCCGCGAAAGCCAATGGTACAGATGTTTTGCCAGAAACAGTAATATAAGGCCTGAAATGGCGGGGCTGATCGGAAATTTGCATTCCGAAGCTCACCATTACATGGCGTTCGTGACTGCTTTGAACAGAACTTCGGCCCAGATTTGATACCCCCTCTCGTTCAGATGAACATGGTCTACCAGACACTCCTCCATATCAACCAAGGGCGGCTCCAAGAACTCTATTCGGTCAACTCCATCTTTTTGAAATTGTTGAACAAGCTCAACGTAGCTCTCATTCGCTTTCACAATCAATTCATCCCTGATATCCTTCCTCCTGAAGAGCCCAATGAGAAGTATTTTGCCATTCATTTCGAGCAGAGCCTCCACAATCAACCGAAGTAGGGCCAAGTCAGATTCTCTCATTCCGCGCTTAGGATGCAGATTGTTTGTTCCCACATGCAAGACCCATAGTTTGATATCGCGTCTTTTAAGTGCATCTAGCAGCCCGTCAAGGGGTTTCGAGGGGTCTGATGAGCCCATGAGTCGATAGATGACGTTTTCGAACTTGTCGCCGCCCACGCCAGCATTGAAGACGCCTTGTAAGCGTTCAGGTCTAGCCGAAGATGTTTGCAGATGCTGTTGAAATGTTTCATCGCTAATCATAGTTGTGGATGGCCATGGGTCGAAGCTCGGAGATAGACCAGTTGTAATCATGCGTTCGATCATGGAATCTCCTAGCAAAACGATGGACGGCTGTTCAGGGTTGTTCTGTAGTTCCACAAGGTGCCTCTCAAGAGATGTCTCATGAGACCGCTGCTTGTATTTGCCGTGAGGAATCAGTTTCTCCATTATTCTTTCGGATGCCAGAGGCTTTCTCAATTCCTGGGCCCAAAGACGGGTGATCGCAAAGAAGTTCGGCTTGCTTATCGCGGCGCAATCAGCTCAATTGAAAGACTTCTTGTTCAAATGGCGTTCCGAATGGATCTCTAAGGGTCTACTTATGACTTGACAACATATGGGGCTGTATAAGGCCTGCCGTATTCCGGAGTGTGCCTGCGGTGGCTATGCAAATTCTCACGAATCTGCCCAGCCCGCCGTTGACTCATCCGGCATGCAGCCTCAACTTTTCATAATCCACGACCAACAACTTTTCATCGCTCCAAAAATTACCTTCAGGTCGAAGGCTCCTTTTGTCGCCAATTTCCTGATGCTGCTGATCTCAGCGGTTGAGAAGATCTCGCGCTGTTGTCGCGATTGGAATTCTCATATCTTGGCTTCCGCCAAGCCGAGCGCTCACCGTTCTCCTTCTCATTTTGCACATCCGAGGCTGTCGTACGATCCTTGAGCTTGTCGGGCATACTGCGAGCAATGTTAACACGCAGACGACCGGCTCCCCAGACCTTGCGGTCCAGCGCATTCCTTGCTGCATCGGCCTCTTCAGCTGTCGCAAAATCGACAAAGCAGTAGTGGTGTTCGCCGCCCTTGGCCCTAGTAGACTCATGGGGAGTGATGCGCTTGCTGGTGGCTAGTCTTTATCGTCGAAGTCAAGTTAGCAGCGACATAGGGTAAGTTCACCATCGCTGGCGACTGGAGGGGGTTTCCTACGGCTTGTGGCCCTCAAGAATTTGTTGCAGTTCATCTTGGTGTTGCGCCTGATCAACCATCGCGCCCAATCCTCCAACATAGAGTCTCCTGCCATCCCCTTCCGTCGCAACGGCCTCGTCGAAGTGCTTGATGGCACCGTAGGGTCCGCTCTCGATGCCGCGGTTCCTACCGGTCCGCGCTGGTGATCTGCCAGCCTCGTCACCACCCTCACCCCGCGATCCTGACCAGTCTCCCCACCTATTGAAGGAAGACTCTCTGTCGCTTTGCCATCGACTCCGGTTCTGCTTCTTGGGCTCGCATGGGCCGACCTTGAGTGGTCTGCCACGGAGGCGCGCATCAAGGGAGGACAGTGCCCGTTCGGCGTCTGCGCGCTCGGCGAAATCGACGAAGCAGTATCCGGGATTCCGAGCCGATACCGGATCCATGGAGATGTGAATTTTTTCGTATCCTTCAAAACCATTGTCTTTCAGCATCTCCTCGATGTCGACGGGCTGGATGCTGTAGAGAAGGTTGCCTAGATAGATGCGCCGGCCCTCCTCCAGGGCGGCGGGCTGCTCCGATGACGAGGTCATGATCTCAATTGATGAATCCCAATGATAAACGAGGTTAAAACCATATAGCTCGCAGCCGTATGTCTGCCGACCACGTGTCGTTGGGATGGATGTGAAGGATCAAAATTTGAGAAGTCTAATGAGGGGCATGAACCAAATACACAGTGGGGTAATTCGCGTTTTTGCGGCTAGGGTTCACCGGCACAGAAAAGCTTATACTTCGTTCCATTGGTCAGTGAACAATGGATAAAAGTGATATATAAAGGCTCTCAAACTACAAGGTCCTCATAACTTAATTGAATCCATTAAAGAGGGATGGTATCGAAATCCGACCCGAGAATAAGCGCCTCAAACACCCTCATAGCCCAGCTCAAAGAATGAACACGGGCTGTCTGTTCCCAATCAACTCACTTTTCGACACTTGCACATCCTTCTTGTCGAAATCGTGCAACATCAACCAACAAATCATCCTAAATACGAGTGTATACCAGATTGCCAAACGCTGCATTTCGATGTGGTTGGGTACTATCGTTTCCCACTGTGGCAGCTCTGGTAACTTGCTTGGCTGCGGAAGTTCCGGCTGATCACTCGGTTGCTCAGTCTCGATCCGATGAGGCCACGTCTTGACCCTGCTGATGCCGGGCGTGGGAGTCGAGTCGTCTAGAGCCTTGGTTGAAGATTCTTCGGGGTTAAGTCTCAACGGCGACGGAGCGATTGCGCTGCCGGCGTGAGGTGAGCCGTTGCCCAAGCGGGATCTTCGTTTCTCTGTGTCGTCGTGTATGGCTCTCGAGACGACCTCGTCGTCTCGCTTACCCCTCTTGGTAGAGTTGGTAGGCACCACACGCCAAAGTATGCGCTCGAAGTATGTCTCCATGAACCTTTGTTCTCTCATCTCAAGGGGGATACCAAGCAGGTCCCGAAACGAAATCTGTTCTTTTCCCCTTTTATCCGGACTGTTGATGGCTGCCAATACTTCCTGGAGGTGACGACGTAGCACGTCAAGCACAATTCCCTGGTCTCGTTTCTTGAGAGATTTGTCTGCCAAATCAATAGCCTTGTGCAAAAGACTCATTCTTTTGCTTGTTAAAGGCGGGTTCTCGTCAAAGTCGTTGCTCATCTCCTCCGCTGATTCTGACAGAGCTCTAATATCCTCGACGGCAGTTTCAACCCTCTCATCGATGACGGTCTCCGCCTCTTCTTCGACAACTGCGAGATCGTTCATTAACAGTCCGCTAAAGGCGATAAGCAGGCGCTGGAGCGACAACGAATCTCTGTCCCAAGAAAAGATTGTTGGATTAGGCAGGAAACGGAAACATCTTCCTTCAATGTGCAAAACTCGCGCGAGCATGCCGATGACTTCGAATGTAACTGCCCAAAAATTAGCTGAAATTGCACAAACCGCACATATTCGCTCGATAAACTGATTACATACCAGAAAAGAGGTGCCGGTCTTTCTTTCCTTCCCTGTAGAAAAGTGTGGTTTTGCCGTTGCATCCTATCTGAGTCAAAGTCTCCGCAATGGCATCGCGAGTGCTCAGTTGAAGGATTTCGACCTTGGTTCCAGTCCCTGACGACGTCTTGAACTCCCTCTGCCACTCCAAATCTTCGTCGGGATCCTTCTTATCTCGATAAAAAGTTGGCACTCGCCCAAAACAGAGCTCCTTCACTTCTGATGTCGGGATAACTCGTCGCTCCTCAAACACAGTGGGACCGGTTTTCTCGAAAACAAAGACGACGCCCAAGTCAGGTACACGTGAGCCAGTCAGACTATAACCGTTTCCTTCCGCGCGGTACTGGTTGTTGTCTCGGTCGAAGACTCTCCAATAGAGTCCAAGTATCGCTGCCAGCTCAACCAGATGAGAGATCGTAGAGGTTGCATAGGGCTTCTTGATGGAGGGGTTCGCATCGAAACTTCTTTCCTTCGCTTGTACTTTCACGGCCAAAGTCGGCTCAGGCAGGTCCGGAATGATGGAACTTGGCAACCATTCTCCTTGGAGCTTCTTGCACTCCCATTTTTTGGAATCCTTTTCCATTCTTTCAAGGGCGATCAGGAGATAGACCCACGTTGCTAGCTCATTGTTGACAGTGTGGACCTTTTCAGTAGGCTTAGACGGCTTTTCGTCGTTGGTTCCGCTGGCTGGTCCAGGCTTTGGGAATATCTTGGCATATTCGAGTCGGTTCTTGGTACAACTTTTCTCAGTGCCCTCTACGGACCACATCTCTCCTTTTTCAGGTTTATTCTGGTTGTTCGGAGGAGCCAGAAAGATGATGGGCGCCTCGAACCTAACCTCGAGACGTAGCTCCTTGAACTTTGGCCGTTTTGTCGTGCCTTTCGCCCATCCTCCCATCACGTCTTCGGTGCAATTGGGAAGTCCTTTAGCCGACGCAAAGATCGCTTGCATGATCTGTAGAGTCGCTGCAAAGAGAGCGACTACCGAGACGACGAGAGCAACAATCGCAACAACTACGTCGCTTCCTCCGTTAGCATTGCCATTGCTGTTGCTATTGTCGCTCGGGCTATTACTGGAATTGCTGTCGGCCATCTTGACATATGTTCACCCCGTGAAACACCGCACAAACAGATGACGAATGCGACAGAGACCATCAAAGTCCGAGAGCTTCGCCAAGCTATCCCGTACGGCGGGGATCGAGGATGAGATCGGTGATGCTACCCCGCCGAGGAAGATTCCGTTGATCACCGGCAGAAGTGGGTCGCAAGTGGACGAGCCGGCGCCGGAGTTGTGAGCACGTGGGCGGCGGCGACTAGCCGTGTCTAAGACCAAATGTCGGTGAAGGGTGTCTGGTAGTTTAGAACACCATTGTTTCGACTAGAGACAACGTTTTCATCGAGAACGAGACACAAGTAAATAGGTCAAGGAAGAGGAAAAGTCGAGGACGATGCTTTCGTAAACTGCCGCAATTGATGATTTTGCGACGGTTCGCCCCGTCTCACAGGATTCGAGCTGCAGCTGAAGGCCGCTTATGCGCCATCCCTGAAAATGCGCAACATGAGGTCCAGCTCAGCCCATGGCGCAGCCCAAAACAGTCTGAAAGGGACACCGCGGATGTACGGGTTTTGCGGCCAGCGTAGACTGCCTGATAAGCAACAAAAGTAAGTAGTGCCATTGGTGGCCTTCTTCTGCGAGAGACTTGCCGTATAACCAATTATTCTGCCCGGCGACACAGGTGCGTCATCATGTCTCAACCATTGGGCAGTGCTCAATTGGAGAAGCTGGCGACTATCACATCTCACCAACAGCACTATTCTGGCTCAAGCAGCAGGCTGCGCAGAGCCTCCCTTCTTGTACGAAGGTTCTGAAGCTCTAGCTGCGGGCCTCATGAGTTCTTGCATGCGAATTTGCCCATTGGAGTCTGCCTGACCAACCTGTCGCACGTCAGACGTCATAAGCAATCTTTGAATTCTGACTCAGAAGCCGACCGACAATACCGATCGGCCCACTGGACCCAATGCCCGACGCATTCTCTGCCAACCCCTTGATTTCGGTCAACTTGCGATGATCAAAATGAGGTTGGAAGGAAATATTCAGGTGCCTTCCACTTTTTTTTGAGATTGGTGGTTTGGAGTTGAGTAGAGTGTTGTTGTACTGAAGGGTTGAACCCTGGCGAGCGGTTCGTCTGATGCTTTCGGGATATAAGGGAGTCTGTGCATAGTGTTATGCGGGACGACGGGGCCATGCCTACATTCTAGAAGGATAGCTAATAAGAGATCTCCGGCAGCAGTATCCTAGCGACACATCAGCCAAACTTGTCAATCTCAAAGATGGTATGCTCGCTAACCATGGCTCGCCTTTGCCGACCTGGAATGGAAGCAGAAAACTGCTCCCTTGGAAAGAGACAAGAATATGAAATTTGGGATCTTGAGCGTCATTATGTGTCTCAATTCGTGGTATTCTAGCTACTTAGGTTTTAAACAAAGAAAATTACGCTTCGTTAGTTCTTCAATATTCCGTGCTGGCTCGAGTGATTTGATGCACTCTCCAAATCATCAGGGAGATGCTCGTAGGGCCCGGCCTTGCGATCTGTGTCTTGCCTGAATTCCGACACAATCACCTCTTTCGTTTGCATGATTCCCTCCATGGGACCCAGCTTGCGTCGTGTGCTCATGGCATAAGCCTCCTCCTCTGCATTCCCGCGCCGGACAGTGGACCGATGCGTAGAGACGTTGGTTCCTCGACCGTAATAGTGAAGTCCCGATGTTCCGCCGTGAGATTTTGACGATGACTTTGCTTGCCTCCTCTTGTTCCACAATCCGTACAGTGTCGGCGCGTTGACGACAATCGCGGCGGTGAGCAGTTCGGTGCTAGCCCATGTCGTTCGGTTGATTTGACTGTCCTTGTTCGTGATGTTGATCGGAAGTCGAATGACGGTGATGGCGATGATGAAGACGCCGAGCGTGAAGAGCGCGTACAGCTGGATCTTGCGTTGCCAGGGGGTCTTCAAAGAGAAGACCAGGGGAAGTGGTAGTACGAGCAACATAAAGTCGGTGACGATGTTGAGGACACCGACGACGACGAGTTGCATTTGTGCCTTTGAGCATGCGCCTGCAAGGGTTGAGGGTCAATAATCAGAGTTCGTTCCATCCCATCGGCATGTCTTGCATGTCGGAGAATTGGCTAGTCACGTACCTGGGTCGGGAATAACCTGCCAGTAGAGGTGGAAGGGATTGCATTCGCTGAACGTCGTCACCTGGCAGGCGACGTAGGTGCAGAAGAAGATGATGGAAAATGACCAGATGGTGATCTTCTCGAAACGAAGATTCAATAATAGTCGACGATAGACGTCCAACAGGACGAGCTTCTGAAGCCAGAGGCTTGGGAGAATGTCAGTATGATTGATCGTAAAAGTCTAATAACCTTCCTGACTCAAACCGCTGCAGATTGTGACCACAAGGCCCAAAGGAGCGCTGAAGTCCAGGGTGGTTGAGGGTGCACGGTGATGCAAATGGGGGCAGCACTGACTAGGAGTTATAAAAGACCCGGTTCACAATGGACAGTTTGCTGCCGATCTCCCGCCTGTAGATCTCCTCGTCGGTAAACGTGTGATTCTTTCGATATGCTGCCGATACGTTGTTCGTGCCCCAAGTCAAGACGACGTGGATGAGGCCGAGCCGCGTCAGAGCGCAGATAATAGCGGCGACGGTGAACCAGTCGCCCAGGTTGTATTCCTGTCTGGAGATGTGCACCTTTTTCCAGACCAGCCGAGCCACCATGATAATAAGAGCCAGGCAGCTGAAGAGCCAATGGATGAGTAGCGTCGGGTCGTCCATGGCCGGCGAGTGTCCGAGGCTCCGGGGGGTCGACGAGACGATGGGACGGGGACAAGACAAGACAAGAGACGAAAAAGAGAGACGACGGAAAAAAAGGAGCCTCTCGAGAAGAGGAGCGCAGGTTCGGGGGCAGATGATGAACATTATTATCTTCTCGGTTTCACGTCTACGTACTCATCGCACTAAGGTAGGGGAGAATAGGGGGCCTTGCTAGCTTGATACGCAAAGTCTCCCGATCCCAGCTTGCCCGAGGTACTGACCTGCTGTGTGAAAGGACCATCATACCATTCTCAGAAATGTTTGCGGGCGTGACCAGTCTCTGGGGAGTCTGGGACCTTGCCAATGCTTGCAGAGCGGCCAGAGCCTTGCAGAGAAAAGAGGAAAAAGATGGTCCTAGATGAAAGGATCAGGGCTTGAGACCTCCGGAGTTTGGATGCTGCGAACCCCAACTTTCCCTGGTGGTGGTTCGGATGCACGTCGGCTGTCGAAGAATCTCCATAAGATGTGTGATTGCGATGATCCACCGTGGGGCTCTTCCTCGCAGCTTGTGCGGCACGTACGCTTTCGTCTGTGTGGTCTGTCGACTTCTAGAAGCCGAGGAGGGCCGATTTGCGAGAGCCTGAGAGAGGAGACGTCTGGAGTCTTGACCCAGATTCGCCTGTGCCGCTGTGCCGCTGAAGATTTGCTGCAGGATTTAGAGATGCCGAGGGAACAGGTGGAGCGCCAAAAGTCTTGCGTTGTAATTGTTCAGGTACATCTTGGACAGCCGATATTGATAGAAGTTTGTTTTGTTTGAGTTTGACAGCTTGACAGTGACAACTCTTTTTTGCGCTCAGATGTTCTCAACGGCTACCAACGACGGGAGCGACTGCTTAGCCGATCGAACCCCAACTCTCAATACGGGCATTTGCTAGTCTCATTCGACTGCTTTCAACGAACTTCACTGAACTGAGTCTAGTGGCGGCGGGCGGCGTTGAACTTTACGAGTTTCTCCCCGGCTAGGGGGTTTATCGGAGCAAAAAAGCTCACCGTGAAGAGAACGGGAATGGGCTGACCGTTGGTCCGCCGGCTGCTAGCATCACAGCACTAGTGAGTGCCGCCACAGTCGTATTCCACGTATACTTCGATGGTTCCCCTCCTCCAGGATCCAAGGCCGGGTTAGACGGGCTTGGCAGCCTGTTGAAGAGCATCTAGGTGCCAGGATGATGGGATGTACGGATAATGGATATTGTTGTGCAGACCCGATTTATTCAAGAACCAAAGATCACAATAGTGGGAAGAATGCCGGGTTTGCGAGATCATCGTAATCAGGACTTCGCCCCGCCGCTAGTTTGAGTTGATCAACCGAATCCCCCCCACGTTACGTTGAAGCGATTTACGGTAATAAGAATGTCGTCTTTGGGTCTCTTGGCTATCCGCTGCCCGGCACATGGCTTTGACAGAATATTGACGGAACTTAGCCCCCAAACATGCCACATAGGGTCAGATTTCCTGCCTCAAGAATTGGCAAGAGTCAGTCACGTCGTCCAGAAACGTTCTCTGCCTGTCTTTTCTGAGGCTTTCTCTGCTCAATGGCGGAGATTAATGCTCGGGCTTGATCCGTAGTCAGCGGCCTAGTGGTAGACTAATATCCACGATGCCGGACTGATGCAACACTTGCTCCATTCTATATGAGACCACCGGGCGTGGTAGTCCCCCGGTCCCTGTCCGCCCGCTGACTCGCGCACAGAACACCACTCTAATATGAGCCAACTTGCTCTTGTTGATGGAGAAAATTTCCAGCGGGAAAAGCTGTTCGCGGCGGTGCGCCTCCTTTTGCGGCTTGCCTCTGTCCCACCCCCCGACTTCCGCCGTGATATCATCTCGTCCGCTGGGACCGCTGGGCCACAGCCCACCTCGACGGTCCTCGCTAGAGATCGGGACCTAGCCGCGTGGCGTTCTTGTTCTCAACCTTTCGGCTGACTGCCGCTCTTCAGACACACAGACCGAAGCGGGTGGATGCCGCTCGCCGGGCCCCCCAAGGCGCCCAAGGTCTCCAAGACCGGGCTTAATGTCGTATCACCCTTCCACGCCTCCATTCCTTGATTGTTCTTCTCCATCAGCCCTATCTTAAAATCACTCGAGGATGGACCCTTTATGCCAGGCTAGCGGAGCACGCGGCAAGGTGATTTTCATTCATTAAAGAAGTCCCAATTGCCACCCTCCCGTACCGCGTGGCCCAAAGTTTAATCCCCTGCTCAACCGCTGTCGCTCTTTTCAGTCCTTTCCCGGTTCCTGCAGCTCGCGTCCGTCCCTTTATTTTCCTTTTTTACTCGTACTCTAATTCCAGAAAGACGGTACCATTCCTGTCCGAGTGTCTCACTTCCCAGGCCATCTACGTGACACGCCCGACGCAGCACAACCATGCAATTCCTCAAGTTCACCGCTGCGGCCGCCGCTCTGTTGGGCCAGGCTTCCGCGTTCCCTCCCGGCCCTGGATTCGGTTTCCCGGGTGGCGGAGGAGGTCCGGACTCTCAGCCGGATAGGGATGGCTGCGTCGACTCCGAGGCGGCGTACATTCGCTCCTACTTCTACGTCGGAGGCGGGTACGTCGACGATGGTTCCGGTGGTCACATCTTCCGCGACCAGATGTACGTTGAGAAGTTGCTCCCCACGACTGGAGTTTCCCAGGAGACGCCGATCGTTTTGATCCACGGTCAGGCCCAGACGGGTAGCGTAAGTTTTGCAGATCTTTCCCAGCGGGATCCTCCCTCGCGATGTCATAATATTGAATATTCGCTGACACTCCTTCCCTCAGAACTTCTACAACAAGCCCGATGGCGGTAGAGGTTGGGCCTCTCACTTTGTGAGACAAGGCTTCGAGGTCTACATCGTCGACCAGACCCTCCGTGGCCGCTCCGCTTGGATGCCCGGCTACGGCGCCTCCAAGCCCTCGACGTACTCCGCCGAGATCATCCAGCAGCGCTTCACCGCCGTCAAGGAGTACATGCTCTGGCCCCAGGCTGTGAACCACACCCAGTGGCCCGGTACCGGCATGATGGGTGATGAGGTCTTTGATGCCTTCTACAGCTCCAACGTCCAGTTCATCAACAATGCCACGTACCAGCAGACGACCGTCCAGGCCGCCGGTGCCGCCCTCCTCGACAAGATCGGCAGACCCGCCGTCGTTCTCGGTCACAGCCAGGGCGGTCTCATGCCCATCATCATCGCCGACGCCCGCCCCGAGCTGACCAAGGCTCTCATCCTCCTCGAGCCTACCGGCCCTCCCTTCCAGGAGGCCGTCTTCAGCAACAAGTCCGCCCGCGCCTATGGTCTCACTGACATCCCCGTCACCTACTCCCCCGAGGTCACCGATCCCACCACCGACCTCGTTCAGCAGACCTACCCTGCCAAGGGCGAGAACTACGTTCAGTGCGTTCTCCAGGCCGAGACCCCCGCCCCGCGCCAGCTCGTCAACCTCGCCGACAAGCCCATTCTCCTCGTCACCTCTGAGGCGTCCTACCACGCTCCCTATGACCACTGCAGCGTCGAGTTCCTTCTTCAGGCCGGCTGCAGCAAGACCGAGCACCTCGAGCTCGGCGAGGCCGGCTTCCACGGCAACGGCCACATGTTCTTCATGGAGAAGAACAGCTACGAGATCCAGAAGACTCTTCGTGATTGGATCCAGGCCTTGTAAGGCTTTGGCGATGCTGTCAAAGCGGGCCGATGGAGGCGGAGGAGGAAGAAGAAAATTGAGTGATGTGCTCACGTGTGTGCGTTTTGTACGAAAAGAAGCGGATACCCATAGACGATGAATATCATAATCTGGTAATGACACGCACTCGGTAGTCTCATCGCCTCCCAGTCTCCTATCTCGATCGTCGAGGTTGGTTCGGATTACCGTTGTGACATCCGGAGAGATCTGCCCTTAAACTGTAGCCACGTGCCCGTTGATCCCAGTGTCGGCCGAGTCATCCTCCATGTCCGAGGGCAACGATCTTTAACACGTTGACGTGGGCTGAAATGTGACTTGAGCTGTATCTTGACAGCCTGGTTGAAGAAAAGATCGTCGCTGGCAGGGGAGGGACTTGTCAATATTGCTTCTGTCCCCTCCCGTTGAGTCGTTGACGCCATGTCATCTTGTCCCCGACGTGGGAGATGAGTAGCTTACACGGACCAGATCTCAGACAGGCAAACGGCCAAAGACTAAACCTCGGACTTGGACTTGCACGCTCTTAGCTTGCCTCTGCACCTTTGCCTCACAGACTTTGCGCTTGGAGCATCATGTTGAGCTATGGCATCGCCAAACATCGCAGCTGCACCTCAATGGCGTTTCGACTAATGCAACCCATCTCTGTAACAGACACCAGCACGGTTGCTAAAAGGTGCTGGGTCTATGGTTTAAAATGTAGATACCTGCCAAACTAGAAGCTAGAAACCTTCTAGTTTCTTGGGTGACTAACAGACTGCTTCTGCCCGTGTTGAGGACGATCAGAAATGGCGACTACAACTAGTGTTATCGCGACCAAGGAAGCGAGCAATGTGGCCGCAGACTCGGGCCACTACACGATTGTTCGTAAAACGAGTATGATAAGTTGAGACAATGAGAGTGTGCTCACCGCTAATCCTATTCAGCAAATCTCGACCGCATGTTCTACGTCTACCACCGCCTCGGGATCCAATCCAACGTTCTAGTCGCAGCTCGCTACGCCTCAGCCCAACCGGGCAAGCAGCGTCTCATCCTCTCCGACGACGCAGTCTTCTCAGCTCTCCACGCCGTCGTCACCAAGTTTCCAGAGCTTGGTCTCGTTGGAGTCGTAGAGCCCGCCGCCGAGGAGGGCAAGCACCTCCTGTCTCTCGCGACACTGAACGAGGTTAACCTCGATCGCTGCGTCGAGTTCATCGACGACGAGACAACTCAAGTCAACGCCGAGTTCCTGGAAAACCTCCACGGAAAATGGCACTGGGCTGATGGTGCAGTCGAGGCCGGCGTACCCTGGTGGAAAGTCATCGTCGTCGGACGCCGAGACGTCGTCTTCGTCTACCACCACCTCGTCTGCGACGGCGCGTTCGGCATGACATTCCATCGCGAGCTTCTGGATGCTCTCAACGCATCAGCCGTTTCCGACACGGGCTCCGCGTCCTCGCGCATCATCGAGCTCGATCCCGACAGGGTACGTTTGAGCATGGCCCTCGAAAACGTCATCCACAAGAAACCAGCGGTCCTGGGCGTTATCTACAACCTCCTCGTCTTCCTCTTCTACAGGTTCTTTTACGCCAAGAAACTCTTCTTCGTCAACTTCCCCAAGCCGAAGGAGCTTCTCAAGGACCCGATGGCCGTCGCTGGGCCCGCGGATCGTACCGTCACAAAGGTAATGACTCACCGCATCCCGTCTGACAAGATGGACGCCATCATCAAAGCGTGCCGCGCGCATGACACAACCTTCACGCCATTCCTGGCTGTTGTCGTCGCTGGCACCCTCGCAGCAGACTTCTATCCTCACGCAGAAGTCGGATTTACCCGGTACGCCGTGGATATGCGCGCCACGGGCTGCTTCGACACGGCCTCCCCGGACGAAGGCAAACTGCTCAACTTGGCTGCAAGTCTCCCTGAGCCGGAGAAATTGAGAAAGTACCGCCAGGCCTTCTCGGCATCGTCCTCCGTGGGCGACAAGCAAAAGGGACTTGCGGCAAACGTGGACTCAAAAGCCGCCTGGGACCTCGTCCGAGACTACGGAAGGCGAATGGTGGAATCACGAAGCGGCGGGGACGAGTCTCACCTTTACAAGGCCTGGATCAGCGGCAATGCTCTGGGACCAAGTCTCGAGGAGTTCGCGGAGAAGTTGCCGTCGATGGGACTCTTCATGCAGAACAGCTTTTCGGTCTCCAATGTTGGGTGCCTCAAGACCGCGCCTCCGTCTTCGAATGTTGAAGAGCCGGTGGTGAAGATTGAGGATGTGCAGTTTTCAGCCGGCCCGGTACAAGGTGCCGTCGGTTACCATGGTATTGTGTTCAATGTGGCGGGAGTTGCGGGCGGTGATACTGTCATTAATGCTTGCACTGAAGGAGGGATGGCGCCGGAAGGAATGGTTGAAGCGGTGTTGGATGGTGCTATGGCTAGAGTCAATGCATTGTTGCAGGAAGAGAGTGCTCCAAAGGCTGGCAATGACCGCAAGGGGTTTTGGCATGCCTTTGGTTGAGTCGAGAGTAATCATATTGATCCAAAGATGCAATGGGTACATACCAACTGCGACAAACTATGTTCACAGTCATGATCAATTGATCAAAATCAACAAGCTTTAAGGATCGCTCACATGCTTTATATCGAACATGATCTCCCATGAGAAACAAGCTTCAATATCTGCCGGGTCTACTAGAGAGATGTGGATCTGTATGCGCATGGCATCGTCACTGAGTAGGGTACCTAGTCTTTTCAGATAGACATCGGTCTTCGATGGCTGGTTGAAATTCGCCAGGTATTTGACTAAGTAGTAGAGAGTGCTCAACATCATTGATTACTTGATTTAAACTCAAGCCGAGTTGACGTGAACTCTGAACCCCATCTTGACTACTTTCCAGCCAACCTAGTCTGCCATGTGATGTCTACATCTCGTAATTAAGGCCATTTATGAGTTACTTACTATTACAGAGCTTAGCTAGTTAGGAACTCAAGTTCCTACCTAGGCGGGTGGCGATTCTTTGTAGAATTAGTATTGACACATCGTAACAATAACCCATCTCAATTCAAGACTGCGAATAGAACTTAAAGAAAATGACAAATCCCGCCCAATGTTGCACATACTTGACGCCGAAGGTGTGTACAGCGTCGAATAGTCTTGTCCAATGCCTCAAGTAAACCCTGATAGAACGGGTAGGCGGCATCCCGTCTCATTAGAAACGCTGGTGGGTTCAACCTTAGACCACTACAACCGATCTTCAAAGTAAATAGGAAATGATTCGATGTTATGTTCCGGTAAGTCTGTCAAACAACTTCGTGAGACAGACCCTCACCCAGCATCACAAAGACAAGACCTCTCTTGCAAAGCTGACTTCCCGCCAAGGGACACATCACAGCCTAGACTCATCGGGGACCCATCACCAATCCAGTCCAAAAGAACCCACCCAGTGTGCAGTCAGCCGCCGCAGCCGACCCCCATGCCAAATCCAGCTGTATCACCCGAGAAGACGCAATCTAAATCTCGCACATTGGCATTCTGCATCACAAACCAACACGAAAAACCTATCAACTTGCCATCTCCGGCAGGTCGAAGCATCGAGAACACCAGGCCCGACGACGAAAAAAGCACCAACGAAACCGGTCCCAATAAACGGGGATACGGATCCTCAGGAATGGGTCGGCTCGCTCGTATCCACCGTATCTGAGGTATCTGCTTGGCTGCGCACTGGGTCCCCCCCTTCGCAATCACAACGCTTACGCAGGATTAGGTAGCCACGAGAGAGAGAGCCTGGTTCCAACAAGAACGGGGGCCCCATGTGGGATATCCGTAACTGCACTCCGTACATCTGCACTTCCGCAACCTGCAGCGGAGCCTGCTGCCTGCATGTTTGCTTGTCTCTCAGAACTCTTAAGCTGCTCGAAGAGGCGCAGACGGCACAGCTGCTTGAAGACTCCGGGAGCCTTGCGTGCTTTGCCCGTCACAGATGTTTGCCTCTAAGCGCCCCCCCCCCCAGAAACCCGGTCGGAATACCCGTCGAATCGAGGCCTGCAGCGGGAACATGGGGGGCGCAGTGGGTTGTGAGATTTGTTTGCCTGCTGTGCCGTTGGGATGCATATCGTGAAAGTGATTGTTGGAACCGGGGTTTGGAGGTTTTTTGGTGATATTGTGGACTGCAGTTACGATTGTTCCTGGCGAAGAGAACCGAGAGACTATTGAGAGCCACCTCGCTTGGCGGGCACGCAGTGCGCTGCATGACGGAGTTTTGGGGGCAAACGGGTTTGGTATTAAAACGGTCGTCAGCGTCGTTGGTAATGTGCCTTTTTTCAAAGCTTGTTATTCTGCAGCTTGTTGTTCTTCAGCTTGTCATTCTTCAGCAACAGAAACTTGGGCCATCGTCGACTTCATTACAGCCAACACTGTATACACTTGCAGGGATGGCTACCGCGGACGCGTTGATTGCAAGTCTTCAAGACATCAACGGGGAGAGCTTCACAGATAAGGCAGAGAGGATACGAGCCAGGGATGCGCTATATGATGCGTTGAGGAAAGTTCAGACGCCGTGGGATATCGCGTGGGATCACATCGTGGTCAAGGGCGGCGGGAACGCGGCGATCAAAACGCTCATCGACGCTGGCGTGTTCAAAAAGTGGCACGAGGCTGGTGGTGAACCCATCACCTGTACCAAGCTCTCAAAGCTGACCGGCGCCGATGAGCACCTCATCCGTATGTCAAAACAATCCAACATCCGTTCGAAAGTGAGCAGATACAGTGCTGACCCGGAAAATAGGCCGCATGATGAGGGCAATAGCAGGCCAACGCCTCGTCATAGAAACGGACCTCGACACCTACGCCCGCACGCCTTGGGCCAGAGCCCTGGGCGAAGACGCGCCGCTGCCGGCTATGTACGGCGGCTTCTACGGCGAGCTGACGAACCCCATGTTCCGCTCGCTGCCGTACTACCTCAAGCAGAACGGGTACCGGAACCCGACGGACAAGAACGACTGCAACTTCCAGCACTGGCGCGGGCCCGACGCCGTCTTCTTCAAGTACGTCGGCACGAACCCGCTGCTCACGTCCGACTTCAACGACGTCATGGAGTGCCATTCGCGGGATAACCTCACGGCGTGGACCGAGGTGTATCCCACGGAGAAGATCATCGAGGGCGCGGTCCCGGAGAGGCCGTTGGTTGTTGATATTGGCGGCGGGAAGGGCCATGATTTGAGGAAATTTCATGTTCGGCATCCGCAGGTTCCCACGCGGCATCTCATCCTGCAAGACTTGCCCGATTTCCTGAAGGATGTCAAGCCCGATTCCGCCTTCACGATCCAGGCGCACGACTTCTTCACGCCGCAGCCGCTGCGCGGGGCGAGAGCGTACTTCTTGCACAACGTGCTGCACGACTGGCCCGATGCCACGGCGGTGGATATCCTGAAGAACATTGCGAGCGCCATGGAGAGGGGTTACTCGAGGCTGCTGATCCACGAGAGCTTGATCAGCGAGCGGGCGCCGCTTTCGAAGGTGACGGCAACGGATATGATTATGATGGCGGGGCTGGCGTCGGCAGAGAGGACGGAGGAACAGTGGCGGGAGCTGATTGCGGCGGCGGGACTGCGGGTTGTGAAGATCTGGAGGCCGGTGCAGGCGGTTGAGAGTGTCATTGAGACGGAGTTGGCTTGAGAGATTTATGGTGGAATATGCTCGGGGCTTCTGCTTTGAGTGGAAGAGTTTTTTATTGTTTGAAGTATGTGTAAAGTTTAGCAAGCGTATGGGATGGGATGCAGGTCTTTGGTTCGATTGATGCTATACTTGGTCGAATGTGGTGAACTCTAATTTTTGCGTATATTATGCTCAAGTCTGGCGGTTTCAATATCTTGAGGCGTAAATGACCATCGTGTGGCTCGACACTGCTACTTACTGCTCGCAGAAGACAATTCAAAAGTCAGCCTTGTCTCGTTGATGTGCAAAGATCTCTAAAGCTGTTGGTTTAGCATGTCAGTTACTACCCTTAGTCGTACCCGCTCCCAGCAATGCGTCAGAAGTCTGAAGGCCCAGAAATGAATAACTTTGAAATATCATTGGTGATGTGTATGCTTGTGGGCAGCTCGACGGCATGTCCCTTCTTGGTATCCTTTTATACGCCATGTGCTGGCTTTCTTTCGCCAAACAGCCCCGTCCCTCTATCCTCCTGGCCCCTCATCGTCGTCACGTTCTCGTGTTGCTCGTATGCTAAAGTGTCTCCTCAGGTTTACTGGCGCGCGGCAAGAGCCTCGGCCGCGTGGCGGTCGTGCTCGGCAATGTCGATGGCCTCCCAGGGGTAGTTGATCCAGACGTCGCCGACGGTGCGGGCGGCGAGGTAGTGACCTGAGGTCATCATGTCGGAGGGAAGGGTGCCCTTCTTCGCCTTGTCCTTGTTCTGTATTCCGTTGCGTTAATACGTTGGAACTCAAACGAGGTTTGCGGTTGCTTTGGGGATATGACTCACGTGCAGAACAAAGATGCCGAACTCGGTCTTCTGGCCCTTGCCGAGGCGCTGGCTAGCAGCCTCAACATCCTTCTCCAACTCCTTGACGGCGTACTCGAGGGTAGTGCGGGTGTCATCGACCTCGTCGACAATCAGGATGCGCTTGCCGACGAGGTTCTCCATCTCGCCGATAGCGGTCAGGTCAAGCCATTGCGTGCGGGTGACCTTTGTGCCAGGAACCTCGGGGACGCCCGGGGTAGAGTTGCCGCCGAAGGTCTCGGGAAGGCTCTCGTACAGAGAGAGACCGATGGCCTGGATGGGGATGTTGGGGTTGCCGGGCTTCTTCAGGAAGGAACGGAGGATACGGGCGGGAACGTAGCCGCCGCCGCCGATTGCGATGATGAGCTGGGGCTGGAAGGTCTCGAGGATCTTGACGGCGGACTCCTGGCAGAGGTTGTGCACCTGGAAGAAGGAGAAGAGTTGTTAGCCCATGTTTTGCGACACCTTGCACGAACATGGAGATCACTGGAATAAGAAAGCAATAGCGCTAGGGGTCTGGAAGAAGGAAGGAAAAACATACATCGTTGTACGTGACGTAGAGCTTCTCGACCATTTTTGCGGTGTTTGGAGGGGTTCTTTGACTCGAATTCGGTCGGTGGACGGGGTGTACTGCGGGGTAGGAGGAATGCTGCAGATTTGGAGATGTCTCTGATGTCTGGTATTTGAGAGGATGTAGAGAAGAAGAAGGAGAAAGAAACGAGAAAGATGGATCGTGTATATGTCGGGGGGAAGGAAATATACAGAAGCGTGAGTTTAAAGTGGAAAAGAAGCTTAAGTAGGGAAGAAATGGGTACCCAAGATTTCTGCCAGTGAGAGAGAAAGAGAGTGCCGCTATTCACACGCGAGACGAGGACGGAAGAAAAAAAAAAAGATGCGCGCGCCAGGCTGCCAGGACCCCTCCATCCATCGATGAGCCAAAGGGGACCCCGCCATCCAAACATGAATGGATGGGCCATGGCGGCGGGCACTTGGGAGAGAAATTTTGTCTGGCGAGCCCCGAGCCCCGCGATGACCAGCGGGTTGCTTTAGGCCCACTTTGGCATGGATCTGGCTGCTGCGCCCCGGATGCCAGTCATCCGACTGTGGCTTGTGAATGGCTGCTGACCGAGAGGCGTCACACCGAGGCCTCGGAGCCCGCCGTCGTTCTCGGTGAAGGAGCCCACTTCCGGTGTTAGTTTACCAATGAAATCGGCGTGACTCTCAAATGGCAGGGATCAAGTGTTGCGCTCCTTCCAAAGTTCCTTCCCGTCCCAAGTGAGGAAAGAGCTTGGTGCTGAATTTTCATCCCCTGCCACCTGCCCCTCGTGCCATTGAAGATTTCACGATAATTTCCAGGCTCAGAAATGACGCTGTAACTGTCGCTGCGTTCAACTTTGGTCCAGTCAGCATCGAGTCATGAGACGACGAGAGTCTTTCCAATGTAGATGTAGAGTTCTCGATGTGGAGAGTTTGAATATGATGACATGCCAGTTTCGCCCCACTACTTACTGACCCTGGCCGCGGCAGCCGATGGGAATGTTTGCTGCTATGTTCTCGACGGTCAATGATATTCTCTTCCATCGGAGACGACTGGGATGTTTGGCCCTGAAGTCCATAATCCGGGTCAAGTACGCGTTCACATGCTCGGTCTCCTGATATCCTTGCTTTTCTACTACTTTAGAAATGGTCTCTGGGCGCAATACGATGGATCACTCTTCATATGGCACATCTTGAGTGGCATAGACTATCGTGTCTTTGCATACCTGAGCTCTGGGTATCCCTTGGTGATAACTCATCAATCCCAATAAACCTCGTGTCCTCGTTAACGCAGCAATCACCCTCCCAAAAACAAAGCTCAAGACCAAGCTTGGCACAAACATAACCTAGAGCGTCTTCAGACGCGCAATCAGAGCCTCCATGAGCAACTTCCTTAACTCCTGATCCCGATACGATCCCTCGGGCGAAATCTCCTCCTTCCACTGAATGATAGCTTCGCTGACAATCAAGTATGCCGCCCAGAACGCGTCAAAAATGCCAGGACCAACGCCAGGCCGCGGGAAGAAACGCTCGTTCTCCTAGATGTATCCAGCCGGATCTCCCACGAAACCGTCTTCGTTCCCATTGGTTGCCAAATCGTCCATGTTTCCCAGTCCGCACACCCAGAGCTGCGGCTTGTCGTGCGCTTGATCATACGCGAGCCGGAACTTGACGTTACGGGCGTCCTTCTGTAGATCGTGGTGAATGATGGCGAGCGCCGTGCCCATCTTGCGCGCGAGCTCGAGAACGCCGGGACGACCGATGAATGTGAGGAGCTGATCGAGGTAGGCTGGTCGCGTCGCGAGGTTCGGGTGTCCGTTGAGCATCTCTTTGACCTCGGGCGGCTGCACCAAGCCAAGCCAGATCTTCGGGTGAAGGTTGTAATTCTCTGGCATGTTGAGGGCCTCTTTCTGGAAGCCACGGCCAACGGTATGGTCGATGATGATACGGATGATGGTCGGCTTGATCGGTCGCATTCTCTGCATGACGAGTCTGCCTTGCATTTCGGGAAACGGTTCCATGAGCTGATCAGGAATGTGGCTGGAGCCATCCATGCCCTTGATGAGTTTGAATTGGCGCGGCGCGGCCGGGAGTACGAGGCGCGAGAGGTAGGGGTGGTCGTCTCCCAGAATCTCTTGGACTTGCTCGGGAAGCGCGTTGGACCAGTGGCTGAGGAGCGTCGCAAACTCGTCGGCAGCGAAGAATCCCTTGCTCAACTTCTGGTAGGAGGATCGCTCCTTGAGGGCTTTGCCATCCTTCAGCATGTAGACCTGCGTCTCCCACGCCCTCGAGTGGTAGATGAGGCGGAGTCGGGCCGAGTGAGCGGGAGGAGAAGGCGGGCGAGCCCTCTCGTGGGGGAGGAGCAGGTCCTCCGGCGGGTCGAGGTTTTCGTCGTCGTCTTCGTCGTAGTCGTCATCCGACGAGGAGGAGGCATCTTCCCAGCCCTCCTCCTCGCGGATGACCGGCAGCGGAGTGATTGTGCCTCTGCATGCCATCTTTGGTGGTGGTGAGGTGGTTAGTTTGGAAAGGAGGAAAAGAGGGAAGAGGATAAGTACCTTAAAAGGTGACCATTGGCACCCTCAGGTGCTTAGTCGTCAGTATCCGCATTCATCCCACGGGTTTGAGAAACCCTAATGAGGTCGGCTTTGATGAATTCGGCAGGCAGGGCGAAGGCCGGCTTGTTGACAGGAAGTTGAAGTTTTGCAGGCTTGCGTCGGCGGCTAATAAAGGCAGGAACCCTCTCTTATCACTTTCCGTGACCAGATCGTTCGTATTCAAAACACGACAACGAATACGAAAACGACAACGAGCAATGATGGAAAGCAACGATAATGACATGGGGCAAAGAGAGTGATAGGAACTCGAGGAGGAAAGTCGGAAACGGCCATGAGCAGGGATAAAAGGCAACGATAATAATATGAAGTAAGGACAGTGGTAGGAACTTTAGAAAGAAAGTCAGAAACGATAATGAGCAATATTGAAAGCAACGATAATGATATGGAGTAACGACAGTGATAGGAACTTGAGGAGAAAAGCCAAAAGAAGAATGGGCAGGGCAACAATTGTGACGGGGTCTTTTGGGAAAGGCATTCAAATACCTTGTGAATGTTCACTACTGATGATGGGCCGCGACCACTCAGGTCCGCGATGACCCGCAGGAGCGAGTCACTACTATGAATACCGTGGCTGTCGTTCAAATCCTGTTGAGAGGCCAGAACTGAAACCTTTCATAGTGCCGCATGTGTGAAAAGGCTGAAAGAGAAGGCAAGAAAGCAGGCTGAAGTGTGAGTTGGTGAAGGCAAGTGTAATAATGAGACGAAATGTAAGAAGAAGGGACTGCATGAGGATGAAGATGTAAATCAATAAGGTCAAGGCAAGAACGGCCAGTTGATATCTGACGCTCATAGTTCTGCTCAAATAGTCTGTGAAGATTGTGGCCTTTGCAACGACGTGTTTTAGCCCTCCACTTTGACATGTGACAAATCGACCTAGGTGACAGATGTGCCACCCCTGATGCTCTCTTCCCTGATTTCAGTTTCTTCTTTTCGGCCACATCTTGAATCAAGACAGGAGCCGACAGTTGAGCCAACAGGTAGCAAGGGCGAATGTGGCGGTTCCTTTGCAAGCGAATATCCCGACACCGGAGCTTTCAGAATCTAGTACGATCGTGGTATCGTGTATTGTAACAAATGTCTATGGATGACGCTGATGATGGCTTTTGAGGACGATTGCCTCCGACGCAAGCTATGAGACGAAAGAGAAGAAGGTAGAAAGGACCGAAAGACCAAGTTCCGTGACCCTCAGCCTCCAGTTGTACCCTCTTTTTCATGTACAGCTTTCAGCTTCTTCTCCGTCTTCATAAACTCTCGGATGCCTACTGGGACATCGTCATAAAGCTTCTCGTCCCACATATTCTTCGCAATCTTGGGATCTTGCGGCACCCAATTGGTGTCTGAGCCGCCGCCGTCGTCATCCATGGTATTCGAATCATTCGCGCTCGCGCCTTGCTGCTCCTTCAACTTCAGCTGTGCCTCCGCATTCGCCGCCGACCAGTCTTCCATCTCCTCCCTGTACCGTTCCCACACGCAATTGACGCAGCCGCTCATGCAGCAATTATCCGGCTCATCCGGCCGCGGGGGGATAATCACCCCCGCTATCGTCGTGCTCTTGGAACGCAACTCCTCGAGACGCTTCTGGCGCGCGGCAGGGCCGGCCAGGGCGGAGCCGAAGACAATAGCGGCTTTCTCAGCCGCGGTTTGCGGCGGCGGCGTCGGCACCGGCTGTGCGGAGAGAGCTTCAGCAACGGGTTCGGTGGTTTGGATTGGATTTGGGCTTGGGCTGGGGGAGGGAGGCGACGTCTTACGGCCTTGCTCCTGCTTGTGGACGGAGGAGTTTGGGGGCTCCTCGGGCTTCACATCGGGGATGGGTTGGGGGTCGTTGAGGATCGCATCGTAGTAGGCACCCAGCGGATGCGCTTGGGTCTGGGAGGGCTCGATGGGTGCCGGGCCGGTTTGCGACTGGCTCGTGACGAAGGCACCTCGGGGCACACGAGCGATGCGCGGCACGAGAGGCCGGAGGCGGGGGAGGAATCTGGCGGGTGCTGACATATTGAGTGTGCTCCGTTGGTATGTCCAATTCTAGGTGGGTTGAAGCTTGGAGATGGGCATTGTTGGGGTTGAGTGAGGCGGCCTGCTGTCACTGCAGAGGCGAGAGAGACCAAGGCGATTGGAATGCGGTCATCAAAGCCTCGGACGTCATCGGTCTCGATTCGCTGCTTAGGTAAAGAGGGAGGCACCGTCACGTGCTCTCGCGTCTGCACTTGTACTCCGTACCTGGGTATCTATGTGAGGTCAGGAAAGAACTATCAGTCCAAACAATTGCTTTCATTAGTAAATAAAAGAGAAAACATAATCGCAATATTTCTATCAACATTATAGACCAAAAAACAGAACACCGATCTTAGACATGGTAGACATTGGGTCAGATAGATTTGGGGGATACTTGCACTTAGACACCCGCTTCATCGAGCTCTGAGAGGACCTCCCCTGTTTACCTCCCAGGGTCCGCCCAATCAGGAAAGCGGTGGGGTCGCATGTACACAACGCGCCGCCTGTGCATCCGCTGAACGAGACCGCCGCGCATCTTACCAAGGTAGACTACCAGCGCCGCAGATTCAACTCGAGCTGCCAGCTCCGCGCTGAAATGCTTCAATAAAGTCGAATACGAAGATTGAGCATGGAAGAGTCTGCGCCGAAGCGGCGGAGGGTTTCTCCCCGTCTCAGCAGAGAACGCGACGAAGACAATAACGAATCGACCACTCCGCCGGACCCTCCCCCACCACGATCGCGAATACCCAGGAGACCTTCCTTCGCGTCGCCAACAAGAGCAAGCCTGTCCCGGACGAATCCTGATATCCTGCGAAGAAGAAGTCGAAGTCTGAGTCCATCAAAGGCGGGTTCCGGCAACCCATCAACGCAATCTACCACCCAAGATGTTGCTGGCGAGGGTTCAGCCGCCCAACCCGAGAGCCAGGCAGAGAGATTCTTAGAAAGAGGACCTGCGCGCCCAAGGAGTAATATGTCGGGATCAACTGCAGTCGAATCGACCAACCTGGGCTCTCCAGCGCGGCGGATGGCTCTTGAATCGAGGGTCAGCGGAGCTTTGGCGTCTAGGCTACGCCGATCTGGCGGCATACCCGTTCCGAGACCACTTCCTGAACCCGGACCTAACGACGATGAGGACTTCAACCCTTTTGCGGGACGCGTCTTGAATCGCACGCCTCCTCGTCATGGTGCCGGTCTTGGAAGAGTACCTCCCCGTCAGCCCGAACCTGAGCCTGAACTCGACCAGGAACCCGAACTCCCGCCTACGCCTACGCAGAGAGGCCAGGCTGACCCTGTCGTTACGACACCTCCTCGCGGCATCCACGATACACCATCGAAGAAGAAGCGGCGGAATGCTTCACCGTCTAAGAGCTCGCCACTGAAGCAACCGCCTCTTCGACCACCCGAGTTTTCTCAAAAGGCGCAGGAGCCCTCCAAGAAGGCCATGGCACGGGCTGCCCGAGAGAAGAGCCCGACTCAGATGGCAAAAGAGACAAGATCAACAACAGGCCCTTCCGGGATGCATGAGGCGCGTGGAATACCAGTGCCTGATCCCTACTCGGAGCTCAAGGAGACGAGAGACGCGCTTCAGGCGGAACTCGCCAAGTTGGAGGCCGACCTGGAGCTTGCAACCGATGAAAACGAGCGAATACGTAAGGCGCAGTCGCGTCGATCCGGTGATGTGCAGCCTTTGGGACGCTCTCGTCAAAATCAACTCCTCGACTTGCTACGCCGTCACCTCGTACCACCTGAGAAGGAAGCCAAGCCAGATGCTGCGCAAGGATGGTTCGACATGGCCATGAATCCAACATCATGGCTTTCGTTTGGATCCCTAGGGCAAGCTCAGCTTTCCATACCAAAAGAAGAGTCAGAAGAACTCCCTGCTCCGACTTCGCACCACCCCATACAGATGACCGCCGTCGACGAGCTTCCATACCTTCAAGCCTTTACCCCCTTTGAGTTTTCAGCGACAACGAACATGCTGCCGAAGGAAAGCGATTCCGATCCTCTACTTCGGAAACACAACATCGTTATCAGGTCGGCTCATCCGGCGGGTCTGTTCATGGCCAAGATGGAAATGACTGTCGACACGGAGAACCTTCAGATCAAAGAGCTTGCAGTACCCCGCCTGGACCCTGCAGCCGTCGCGGAACTCGGTCCCTTCGTCGAAAAGGTCACAAACGGAGGCTCCAACACTCACATGAACCGGAACGTCAGCGTGGTGACTTGGGCAATGTCCGAGTGGTACAGAGTCGCCGTTGAGAGGGCAAACGTTTGGCACACCCTCGACACCGAACTCGGCGACAAAGAGAAGCTGGCGCAGAGTGTGGCGAGGATACGGACACGACGGAAAAAGCGAAGGAGAAAGGATGACGATGAAGAAAATAGTCAAGATGCGGATAGTGCCACAGACAGAACCCGGACTGAGAACCTGCCTCGTTCAGTACTGCTGCCTCATCTGGGAAGAACAGCCTACGAGATTCCGATACCGGGTGCCGTGAAGGAAGAAACATCGTGTTTGAGATTACAATGGCGGATTGATTTTGACTGGACAGGCGAGGCGCAAAGCAAGGTTGGACTGGTGATTGGCATGCCCGGCAAGTGTGAGTAACCCCAAGGGACGCCTTATGTCACGTATTGGACTAACATCAACTAGGGCATTTAGGTGACGAGCGTGGTTCACTGGCAGCAGCATCGAAGGTTTTTGAAAGATTTGTTCAGGGTAATGAGGGACCGATGACCGCGGTACGAACTGTCGTTGCATTGCTCGCGGGAGACACGTTGTCTTGAAAGGATACCTAGTTCTATGCAATGCTGGTTACCTATACAGAAGTAACTTCATGCGGTAGATGGACGTATCATGCAAGTCCAATATTTATGGTGTTCCCATA